CATAAAAGTAAGGATTGCACTTGATTTATGATTTGTATAATTTTATATATTATTATATATTATGCATACTAAATTACTTTTATTATTATTAGGTCATCTGAAAGCACACTTTGCATTTGAAAGCCATATCAAATACCCTGATAGATGTGATTGGTACGTAAATTATAATAACTGTATGTTTATAAAATATTATTGTTAATGCTTACTATTTGACAGTTATGTGGGATATTTGCGCTGTCATGGACTTAATAAAGTAAGTAGCTATCAATATAATGGTCTAACACTCTCTATGAGTGAACTAATTAGTAAACAAATATATTAGGTAACAATACCCATATTCCAAGTACCTCCAAATAAATACAAACTCAGCATTTTGTTGCGGAATTGGAAGTTAACAACAACGTTTGTAGTAAGTATTGAATAGTATTGTTGATTACAGTATTAATTATATAATAATAATAAATGTAAATGTTGATTTGTAGATTACAATAAAAACATCGACTCAAGCTCAAGAAATGCAGTATAATATAGAGATTGAATATAAGGGCCATGATGCTGAATACATTTTACCATGCGTGGTTAACGTTTTGTCTAAAGATGACATTGTTATAGACTTTGTTATCACTAATGCCTATGTAAGTATTGGTTTATTTATTCATGAAGTTTTGCGTTCTTTATTTGTTTACACCTACGATTGAACGCTAAAGGTGTACTTTATTTATTCATGACCTAGTGTGCATATGTATTCAATTATTCTAACTTTAACACTATTTTAGTCACTAGTCGGTCTTTATTGGGTTTGCTTATATTCGGAAGAAAAGATGGAACGTAACTTGAAATTTGAAACATTTTCGACTGGCGTAAAAATGATTGATTACAGGCAATATCGTTATCCTTATAACAGACATTCCATATATTAACGTGAACATTGTTGATACGCGAGCGTATTCTACTAAATTGTACTGTACACATGAAATGTAAAGAGGAATAATGCCGGCGAAAAGCTGTCATCGCACGCACAATTACTGTTTCGTGCATTAATGTAAAAGTTGTGCGGTGCAACATAAAGAAATATATAGTTTGTTATCGTTAGAGCGGTAAAGTTATCAACTTGATGAAAATATTACTCTCTCTCGCAATGTTTTGCCACATATTAATATTAATATTAATATCTAATAGTTGTTATTTAAAGTTAAAGGTACTGTTTATATACTGTATTTGCTAAATCTTACAATTCATTAAATTTGATCGCAAATCATACATTTTCCGTAGCATGAAAAATTTGAGCGCGAAAATTTAAACCATTGATACACTGCATACCCGGGGTAAAGTCTAAAAACGCCTTGAGTAACTGACGGTGCTCTCATCAGCTACTTCTCTCATCATCGTGTAGCCGAGGTATTAAGAAGAAAAAAAAGAGTTACAAATTTTCTCACCCACCCTTTGACATGCCGTGGTTTTTTCCTGTTTACTGAAAAAAAAAAAAAAAAAAAAAAAAAAAAAGAAAAAAGAAAGGTAAGACCTTCTCAATAGCTTCATGCTCCGATAAAGTTGGAACTCAATACTATAAATAAGTAGGCATTGACTAAATTGGAGACATTATATTTCACATGAACCTAACGTTGGTGATTGAGCAGATGTGATTATTAGAAATTAATATATTACTATTTACTAACTCGCGTCGAGTCAGTTTTTTATATTCACATTCACCATGCCCAAACGTATGAACAAGAGGCATTAGTATTAGATAAATACACAAGTTCGATTGATAGCGGTTCCGATAATAAGCCACCTAGAACAATAAAAAGGAAGGCAGAAGATAATGGGAACGAGAAAGATATGTCGGAAAAACTCGAGTATGAACTTGAGGTAAAAACCTTGCTCTTTTAAAAGCAATAAGAGGGGCATAAAGCTCTACATAACACAAGACATACCAATGACGAAGAAAAAGTCTGGTTTAGTATTTTTAACAAATTTAAAATAAAAATGGTAGGCGAGACTGATAGGACGGGTAAAAAAGGTAAAATTTTGTATTCTTACGATGATAATTGTAACTGATCATATTATAATAATGATGGAAGAGATTGAAATTATGATATTCACTCTCGTCACTAAAGTATGAAAATACATCTGTCCAATAAGCCCTAGCAAAGGTAAATTTAAATACTCTTTGGTAATAAAATCATTCTCCAACTTTAAATCAACAAGCAATACTAATTCCATTTCAATTACAGTCAAATATCCATAAAAGAACACAGTCAAGCTATGTTCTATCATAGAGGTGCTCTCTTATAGAACTTATTTATTTACTAATAAGCCAGAGTTTGTCTCATGATAAAATGCTCTTTATTCGAGGTTGTTCCTTTATAGAGGGTTCTTTTATGGAGGTTCGGCTGTAATTTGACAAGTTCTTCACCATCCGGAATTGCATAAACCTCTTTTTCTTATTTATATTGAAAATCGTGCTTCACACGTGACACTTTTTATTATATCGATATGATAGGGTTAACAGAAGTATTTATTTAGTTGTATGTTTCTTTATTGTACGTTTTATGTGTGTAGATTTCTATGGAATAAACGGTTTTATGTTGAGGCAAAGTCTGATGCTTTCGTGATTTTTTGTTTATTGACGTGCCTTGTTCGGAGATGTCTTGTGCTTGTTTTCTTTTGCCTTTTGTTGATAGGGGAGTGGGCGTTGTATTGAGTGTTGTGGTTTTGTTACTGTTACTGTTGTTCTTGTTGTTATTGTTATTGTTGTTGGTGTTGTTGTTGTTTTCATTGTCGATTTCGTTGTTGGTGTTGTTGTTGGTTTGATTGTCGTTTTCGTTGTTGTTGTTTTCGTTGTTATCGCTGTTATTGTTGCTTGTTATGTGTTTATAATGCGGTGATGTATAGAATAAAGTAATAGTAATAACAGATTATTTGTATTGATATATATATATGGATGCGTGGAAAAAAAATACAGTACGTCGATGTCAGTGTTACGGGAGGACAAAAGTATTGCACACTTTTATATTTATGATATTGAAAAAGTTTTTTTATTAAACCCCCAAAAAATTTTATTTACTTAAAGTGAATGTCAATAGTTAGTATCTCCTCCACTTGCAGCAATCACAGCTTGAATAGGGTTGGGCATAGATAGTATTAAATTACGATATACTTTTGGATTACACTCTTCTTTTGCTGCCTTCTCAAGTTTGTGAACATTTGAAAGCTGAGGATTGCGTTTTTTCAGTGCCACCGCAACTGAGAGAAAGTAGATTCATCCGACCATGTGACTTTCTTCCAGTCTGCAACAGTCCAATTCCTTCCTTTCCATTGCCCACTCAAGTCGAATTTTCCGATTTTTTTTCTAAGATAAGAGGCTCTTTTAAAGGAATACACGAACGTACATTTCTTCATAAAGTGTATGGTGAAGTGTTCTTGTGGAAATTCGTCGGTTTTTAGCTTCGGAAATTTCTTTAGTAATTTCTCAGATCTTTATTGTCGTGTTTTTGTTCGCTGTAACAGCGGGTTTCAATTTTTGTCGATCCCGCTGATTGAGAGAATGCGCGGCCGACCTGATCTTTTTGCGGAGATTTTCCTGATTAGGCTGCAAAAAACCGTTGAACTGTTGTGCGATGACATTATATCGTTATTGCGACTGTTGCATCATTGTAACTTAGTTTTTGTTGCAATTATACCACCTTTTTGAGAATCAGTAAGCGCTTTGTCGAAACTCATTTATGTGCCGAGGTAAAAATTAGGGGGTTTTTGTTAATTTTTTTTGTGATCATCACAACCCGTTTCATTAATCAAAATAAACATCCCATTTAAGCAAATGGACAGTAGATGGTACAAAATTTAGTTTTTTATTACATATAAAATTTTTTCAATATCATAAATATAAAAGTGTGCAATACTTTTGTCCCCCCCCCCGTGTATCGTCTTTATTAAAACGGTAAAAACCGCTGTGAAAATTAGGGTTAGAAGTTGATCATTACGAGTCACTAGTTTTTGAGGCACTCCAACTTATTGTACAATGGATTAAATTTATTACAGTAACATATATAGAATATAGAATAGAAATGATAATTTTGTGGTACATGGCCTTCTGCCTTATAAATGTCCTAAGGGCGGTGGGATAAGATAATTAATATTAATAATATTAATAGTAATAGTTATAATAAATAATATAATAATATAATACTAATACTAATAAAAAGATTTAAGGGAAACCTACCTACAGTCAACTCTCCCTAAATGCACACCCTCGGGACTGAAAAGTTGAGAGCGTGCATTTAGGGAGTACTAGTAAATCACGTGATAAAATTAATACGTTTATTAATTTTCACATTGCATAAAATAGCCTGATTTACTGTAAGTATCAGGATTTAGATTGTAGATTCGCTAAATATCTTACCTGATGTATGGCCACGTTTGGCAACTTGTTGACAATAAAGAATGCAAATCTCCACGTTTGGCAACTTAACATACTGTATCAGCTGAGGTCGAACTAAGGCCATGATTCGCTAAATATTCTGATGTAAGCGATCAGCACAGCAACTTAACATACTGCATCAGCTGGAGTCGAATCAAGGCCATTCGCTTGGAAGGCAAGTATTCTACCGCTATACTACTAATGCAGACTGGTCACGTGTGTGCATTTACAGAATTTATCTTTATATTAGAATTACTCCTCGGGATTGCGAATCGGTTGCACGTGCAGAATAGGGAGAGTGTGCATTTAGAGAGAGTGCATTTAGAGAGAGTTGACTGTACACAACTTTTTTTTATATTTATTAACATGGGACAAATTATGCTTTAATGATTATGTTATAGCAATTGTCTTTATTAGCAATCAGATTATACTATTTTTCATAATAATAACATGTCCGATCAATTGTTAACTATACCAAAACAAATTTTATTGTGGCGGAAATATTTCGACATACTCCGAATTTCTCTTTAAAAACAAACATTGTTTGCTAAATTCGGTAATAAACGCGGTCTCTTTGCTGTTATATGATTCCCAGCATCTGAGAATAGTCTCTCACAAGGGACTGAAGTTGCAGGAATTCCCTCGCCAGTTGTGCAAGAACTAGTAAACTATTTTTATGATTTTGCCACCATTTTAATGGATCGTCATTAAGACCGATATTCTCAAGAACCAAGTATCGTACAACTTCATCTGATTCATCTGAAGCTGATGTTTGGTGATTCACTGTTCTGAATTGCCTGAAGAATTCGTCATTATCATCCTCTTCATCAAGTGTTACTGGATTAGTTGATTCAATCAATAATTCATTAGGTAGAGTTAAAATGGTCCTTTTTGCAATATATAGTTGCCGGTTCAACTCGAATAACCGAGTTTATTTTTAGGCCCTGTTTAAATCGAACATTCGGTTGGGACGAAAACCGGTTAACTCGATTAAACCAAGTTTTATTTTTAGGCCCGGTTTAAATCGAATTTTCAACAACCGGATTTGTGAGAGACATTCGATTTAAATTTCCAACCCGAATATCGTTTCTCAAAAAAGTAAAACCGAATTTTAAAATTAAACCAATTTAAAACCGAGTTTAAAACTAAACGGCCAACCGGTTCCCATCTCTACTATTGAGTACTGCTTCACTCTCACTAGGCATGCTTTCATTGATTTCAAAAGCATCATCAATTCATTCCTCTGTAAGATCTACTGTATTATCTAAATTAACAATCGGTGCCAGATTAGGCAATAAAATAGTGTTATCTTATTGCAATCATCCATTACAGAAAATGCAGAAATTTGCATTGACGGATGATGCGCGTTTATGTCGTTATGCAGAGGTTTCACAACATTCTAAAATAGAAAAAATTTGGTGTTACTCTCCATCGAAAACTTTCTTATATAAAGAGAAATTTTCGTAGTAAAAATCTTTCTTATATTGAATGGTTCTTATATCGAGAGCCACTTGTATTGCCATTATATTGCCTAGTTGTAACACATTATTATCATGATTGTTTCCGTAAATATGAACAATAAACCATGCGATTCTATGATAGTGGTGATATCGATATGATATACACTGTGTAACGAAAATAATGGCGGTGACAAGAAATTGCACATTTTAACAATTCCAAGGAGTAATTAAAAGCAACCAGTCTTGTTAGGCACTTACTTGATATAAAATTTTTTTAATACATAATCTTATTATCATTTCCCGTTATACTTGTTTGTATCAGTTTTTCGTTGTACACAAAAATTCATTGTCTATTTTTCCGAAATTTTCTGAGAAATATCCTCCTATTCCCAACTAATAATGCAGATACAAAGTTGAATTTGTAATATGTTTACATAAAACAGTCGGTTTATTACAAGATAATATTTGTTTCTCCCACGGTTTATTCTTTGGTATGTTACATATAAAACTTTTGATCAGACAAAAGTTTTCCTGTCATGCTCTAAAATGATTGTATCTTTTGGTTTTTGAGATTGTTTACAATGGAACAAAGATAAACACTCATTTTTGAATGTAATTTTATTTGCCGAATAAGCATTGTTGGGGTATAATCTGAAAGTAAAGTAAAATGTTGTGAATTTCAACCTTTATGCAGTGTGTAACATGGTTTATAAAGTTCTCAAAATTAAAGCAGAAGTCAACAAAGCCTTTTCTTTGGTAAATATCTTCAATGAGACATAAACAAGCTGATAAAAATATGTGGACCATAGTAGACAATGTGTTTCATCATTTATTTCAAAAGCAATTTTGATTTCGTAACTGCTGTTTTTTTCGTTACACAGTGTATATATTATAAAAAATTTCCCTTTTGTAAGTCTCACAAGTGAGGATGTGTAATATGATTTCACTGTCCTTTCACATGATACTGTTCCAGCTCGGAACACTCTCAACTGTCACTGACTATATTATTGTCAATGACACTGATAATTTGACTCTAGCTAGCACTTGGAAAAAACTAGATTATTCAGAGGCAAAGCCTCCTCACTCTGCAAGACATATTTTTTTAGATTCACTGCCTTCAGAGTACCAAAATATAATGTACTTATGGCCTTAGCTGAGGCTGGAACCTTGATGAATGTCATGTAGTAGTAGATTAATCTATACAATATAATTATTATTGATTATTGCTCTGGATCGAAATCATTTTTAGGGATTGTTGATTAAGCAGTATTCCTTATTTGTGCACAGGATCTTTTCATAATCCATTCAGGGTTTGATTTCTTTATAAGTTTAATACAATGAAGTGTAAATGACTTTGTATCACTAAACTTCTGTAAAGAGTGAGAGGCCAACAGCAAAACTGACTAACAGATGACTATGCACACCATCACATGCAAATAGCAAGTAGCATGAAATAAAATGGAGATAACCATTCAGATAATGAACTATAACAGATAACCCATTATGACAACTATTCTTCCTGCAAAAGTGATTCATGAAGTTTGACTAATGCTTCTAAGACTAAATGTCTTCCAGCTGGTTCTGCCAGATCTAGACCAGATTCTGGATTATCACCTCCAGGCTATTTTAAAATAGTAATTGATTGCTTTTTGTGGCAAGCCCCTCACAAGCTCTTTCCAATATGCAGCTGGAATCTCAGCCTTGTAAAATGTAACGTACAAGGAGATGACATGGACAGCAAATATAGTCTGATCATAATCAGTGATTGGTGTATTAGTATATTCTTGACCCCACAAGCAAGTATCTCAGCAAGAATTTGAGCTTCCCCAAAATCCCTCATTTTTCAAATGCTTATCCAGTTAAGAAAAAGACTTGAGTATCAAAAACATGGATTTGTCAAAGAATCAAATGTATGGACCTCTATGATTATCATAGCAGCACCGTTCTTTTCATAACAAATTCAGGTTTGGCTGAAACCTTCCTACCACCAACTAATACTAACAGCGTGTAGTGTTCTTTGACACCAAATTTAGCTTAAATTACCATTAGAGTACATAGCATATGAACACATTGTTCATATTACTCACTTAATATTAACCACAAGTGGCCATAACAACTCTTATCAACATTTACATTGCTAATGAATCTGTCATGGATTCTTCTGTGTTCATCACTTGTTCATGCAAATTGTCTATGAACGTTTTGACATGTCCATCCGAAATTCCACCAATATTGTTAACGTGGAAGTTATGTGTCAGGAGAACATCATAATCAACGTATGCACTCGGAAAGCTGGTGACTAGACAAGTTTAAATAATAAGAATAAGCTTGCTAAGAGCGTTGCTAACACAGCTTAATTCTTACTTGTGACATCAGGTATGACTTCGTCCTCCCTAAAAGCTGATGTGAAGTCTGCGTTCAGTGCCTCTATGTCTTCTTCCGCAAATCTAGATGCCGAAGAAGGAAGATCTTTTATTCATAATTAGAACGGGAACCCTCGGAGGTTCGATATGTTGATGACTTGCTGGTGAAATGATTGTCGATGAAATAAATGCCTATCCGAGTTTCAAACACTCGTGTAAGGGTACCTCCAATAGAATAATAACAACAATTATTTATTAAAGAATCGAAGGGGAATAATACTATTTTAAATTTAAACAGGCTTTGTTTGTCGACTAGTCGGTATCCGTCACACAATAATCGTCTCGATAATTAATTATGAACTTATTCACGTAATTGATCAGCGGACGCTTGATCAAATCAATGCTATTCCGTTACAGCTTAAGTGAGCCGTTATTGGAGTGTCCGGCCTAATAATCAATTATTTCGACGATAGAAATTAAATGTACATTCATAATAAAGTATTTCGGGAGAATACTACTAAGATCAGTAGTATTATTTTATTTCACAACAATATTCAAACTTCGATGTTTTCACAACATGGACAACATGATCTTTTGACAATGGAAATTGAGCCACTTATATATCTTTTAGCGTCACTAGAAAAACGAAATGCTCTTTTGTCTAACTGTAGAAGAACAATTAATTATGCCAATTTATAGCGTTTTTGTACTATCACTGATTTTTCGAAACGTTTGATTTTACCATGTGACTTACTTATCTGATCATCAGATAGCTTAGAAAAAAAGTGCAAGATTGGTGACATCATAATCATACTGTTATTATTATGTATGGAAAAGGTAAAGGATTAAAATTGGAGATCATTCAGTTTAGATACAATTCCATGATTCTCTTTCCCCTTTCACTCCATAACCAAAATCTTCTGCAGTAAAAGCTAATAACCTCCACTAAAGAGAGCCTTTTAGGTATCAGTAAACCATAAAGTATGTCAACCAAAAACAAGCAGAAGGCCCCAGCTAATGCTTCTTAATCCACTGATAATAACAAAGAACCTGTTCCTAAAAAACTGTCTCCCTTTTCTTTTGCAAACACTGAGTTTAAACTCTCATATGATGCCCATGTTTCAAATAGGGAAGTTAGTATGCCCTCTGAAAAGGAATATGGCTGAGACAGATCTGCAAGACTGAAACCAAAGCCCCTGAATCTGTAATATCAACCAAACAAACCACCAATTGCTTCATTCCTCAACATCCATTACAACAAACAATGGAACCAAACAGTTCCACCCCCCCTCATTATGGCATATGCAACTGTATATTAATACATAACTGCAACAAGATCTATGCTCAACTACAGCCTCTCAATGACATACTCACAATCAGAACCACTGGCAACATCAGCATCAAGGGACTTCTACACTGGAAATTCTCTTGACCAAGAAACAGAAAACTCTATCTACAGAAACCTCAGTGTCACTTTTGTAGGTGATGATGAACATATTACTGTTGTTTTTCTATAGTCTTTTAATCAATCCAAAACTAAAACTACATCACACTTGAATTTAGTATGTCCAGGTATTAGTATCATAAATTTAATTCAATACTTTCATAATATAAATAGCACAAAATTATAAATATAGATAATAGTAAAATCAAATGGTGGCATTATTTTTATTCTGCCTCCTCATTATTATTATTGTAAGTAAGCTTTAAATACTTTTCACCTTTATTCAATTTCTTAATTCCATCAAATACCATACTCAGTGTACTATTACTATTGGGACCTTTTCCTATAATTTTGTCTTCATAAAGAATGTAATTAATCTGTTTGCATACTGCCTCATTTTGAATACCAAATGAATGCACTGAGATACTTAACTATTGATAAGAATGTAGAACGTGAACATTTTGTGCTCAGCATCAATGGTACAACAGTCAACTTTATCTCTTGTCATGAAATGTTCATCTACCAATTTTCTGCTTGTTTTGTATTTTTGTTGTAATAATTTCTTTTTAATTTAGCTTTAATATTAGCTAGATGTTCTTTGTATTATTTTAATAAATCTTCTGCTTCTTTCTTGCAAGCATTGTACTGTAAGCCATTCTGAAAATGTTGGCATGTATCACATAAATCCGTTCTTGGATGAATGTAAGACATTAGTTGGTATAATAACTTGCAGATGCATATTTCAACAATTTCAACTTTTATGATGTCAAGTGTAACATTTTCAATGTCCCAACTCTGGTCATGAAATTAAGACTGGAGTGACGGGAATTACTCTAGATTGAATCCTTATATGTAATGAACCAATCAAAGTTTTTGAACAAATTTGGACCAATGAGCATTGAAAAAATCGTACTCACCAAGTGTTTGTACAAAATATTTACTGATGTATTTTCTACCAGTTTATATATTTATTTATTTTTTGATTTATTATATAAGTTTAGCGAGAATCTGATCACAAGATAAAAAAGCATATAATTTTAAACAGGCATGTGTTACGGCGAGCTGATCTGATGAATCAGATAAATAAGTCACATGATAAGATATTAAATTAGTAGTATAACATGTCGGTAATTTTGTGACAACACCGTATCCAAATTAGGACATAGCAAAAATGTTGCAAAATAAGTGACAGCACAAACGCTAAAATTAATTGTTCTTCATAGTTATATAATAATATATAGAAACATGTCGTTTTTCTTGCGACGCAAAAGATATCGTCAAATCTTCATGTTGTATATTCAAATGTTGTGAATAATGTTATGAAAATAAATAATACTACTGATCTTAGCAGTATTCTCCTTAATCATCAATATACATAATTTATTCGTCTATCGAATTATTAGACCGGACACTCCAAATAAACGGTTCACTTAAGCTGTAACAGAATAGCATTGATTTGATCAAGCTAGTAAGCTGTACGCTGATCAATCACGTGAATAACGGGACAAGAGTTCATAATTAATTATCGAGACGATTAGTTTAGTAAAGACAAGTGACAGATTAAAATACCGACTGGACTGGTCGACAAACAAATCGAAGATAGCCCTGTTTATTTTAAACAGTATTATTCCCCTTCGATTCTTTAATAGAATAATTGTTGTTATTATTCTATTGGAGGTACCCTTATTTGTATTGACGAGTGTTTGAAACTCGGATAGGGAGTCATAATTAATAAGTCACTTGTAGGCTTAATTCAGTCTTAATTGCACAACTATCGTAGTAAGGGCGATAATACGAGCTAAGCCTGGTAACATCCCCGGTCAGCGAACACAACTACGCGAAAGATAAATCGCTCTCCCACCCCCATTTAATTCCCGACCGTAACACACGGCTCGTTAATTAAATGTTTTGCTCACAATCTATAACCGCAGAATGATGGAGCTTAACAGTCTGGATAAGCTTTCTTATCATTACAATTGTTGTTGTCTTATTGTTGTCAAAGAAAAAAATTCCCAACATCAAAACAAATAATAAATTTTGTGTACACGTATCCTTGTATGATCTTGTAATAGTAAGTCAATATTCTGACTGAACTACTGTCATTTAATTCTGACTTTGTAATAAAATTGTGTCTACAAAATCAAATTATCATTATGTATCAAAATAGTCAATACCAACAAGTCAAAAACTATAATGCCTTAAGTAAGTCACATGGTAAATTCTTCCTCCACAGTCATGCAGATCCCATGATCGACTTTTTTTTTTTAGGAGATCGACATTTAATTTTAGAATAGTGATACTAAATAAACTAATTATAATAAAGCCATCAAAATGAGTTATAACTAAAAAATTAAACCCACTGAAATATAAGATTGACCATTATTCATATTGGTTAATATTCTAGTCACATCAAAAATGCAATCTAACCGTATATACTTTATTATCATGAATATCATATACTAGATGCAAAGTAAAGGGAGAGCCAGCAAACAGAAAGAAAGTTAACATACTTAACATTAATGGTTGGTTTATTACAGTACGCCCATATAAATATGTACTAATAAAGTATATTGCCGTATCTTAATCTGGTTGATAGACATCAAAACCAGCAACATACTTAGTTGCGCAGTTGACAGTTGAGACAAATAACGTCATGATGCATCCGCAGTTTTCGGGAAAATGCTTTCCGATGGTTGTACCTACGTAGCTCATCATTGTCCAGAGAATATGGAAAAGATAATCAATCGTATATATTAATATATATATAGGCCCTTCCGCAACAAATCTTCCCATAATCCTTGGACGAACAGCAATGCAGAATAGCTCTAGGCGATATAATCGTTATTCCGGTTCGAGTAGGGACAATTCCCCTAGTTCATCGAGATTTCTAAACATGACCGAGACAGACGTGATGGAGTTGCCCCCGGCTCGAATAGGTTTAGTTATCGGAGCTAAGGGGAAGACAATTGCTGAGATTAGGTAATAAACCAATTCTGTAAATCATAAACAGTTGTAGAATGATAATATTGCATACGTTGGTGATAAATATTATTATATTAAATCAAATGCAAAAATAATACGATAATATTGAGAATGTTTTCTGTTAACGCCACTGCCTCCCGCAATACGATTAATGTTGATTCTAATTCTACACTTTTATCCTATTAAAGAGAACAATCGAAAGCACATATATACATTGATGGCCATAAAGCCATCATCCGTGGTAGCGAGGAAGCAAGAAAAGAAGCCATGCGTCTAATCAATCGGAAAGTGCGCATAGAGCCGACTATACATCCACACATTGGGTATACTGTTCTTGAATTACCAGAATCTGAGACGTTACCAAAACTCAAGTTCATTTCATATGACGATGTCGATTTTAATACTCATACTCGTGGGAAACGATTATACTGTGTAAGATGTTGTGATAAGGAAGAAAAAGAAAATGACATTTTTAGCCGGCTTGGAGACAGTTGGGATAGTGATATCAACCTTTCCTTCTTAAGTCCAAGTTCCCCAATCCAGTCACCTTCTCAACCTTTATCACCTTCTCAACCCTTATCACCTTCTAGCCCTTCAACTTCATCCTCTCGCTCATCTCAACGTCTTTTCTCCTCTTCTCATTCTCATTCATCATCTGTTACTTCTGTTACTTCCTCTCCCCCACCTTCTGCTCATACCATTTCCTCTTCTCTTCAAGATTCTCTAAGAGCTTTAACCGATCGTCTGTCGTCTCTCTCCATCTCCCTTGATTCCTTAGCTTCTTCCACTTCCACTTCCAATTCTACCTCCACTCCCCCTTCCACTTCCAATTCTATCTCCACTCCCCCTTCCGCCGCTCTCACTCCCACTCCCACTCCCACACCTGCTCCCACACCTGCTCCGACTCCTATGCGTCTTCCGGGGCCCCCACAAGACGCTCGGACGTTCACGATCATGCACTATATTCCGGAAGTGATCTCTGCCGTGTCTTCTCATCTCTTCAAAGTCAACCCCAATATATCGCTCCAACACGAGGCACGTCTAACCATTTTCTTTGGTCGCCAGACATTTTCGACAATCGCTCATTCACGCCTGAGAACTATAGAAGATTGGTGTGACCTGAATAGAGAGAGGCATGGCTTTCAGAGTAGTTTTCAGCATTATGCACCGGATATGATAAAGAGAATTTGGAAGATTTTGCAGAAGTTCGGATTTGAGGAAGTTACCCAAAGCAAACGAAGTAGTATGAATAAGGATGTGAAGACCGGTACCAGCGATCTCATAACAATCGGCGAGAAGAACGAAGAGGAGGAAGGTAATCAGAGCATCGACAATGATATCGATGGGAGAAAAGGGAGTGTTTGTATAACTTATGATGGTGACGATAAAGTCAGAAAGAAACTTAAACTTCACTGGGATTACGAAGAGGGTAAGTTTTTATTCCTACCTTGTATGTGCATTTACCACAAGAATAATGCATTTTTTTACTGACCAAACCTTTGTCTCAACACTTAGGCGTCTACAAAATAACTAAGGCAACTACACAAATTCGTCGGGTTGCAATTGTTGATATTGTCTCTGGGACATCTGCGCCCGATATACGTTTCCTGCTCAAAACACATAAAGACGAAGGTATTAATGCAGAAATGGTCAAGCTTATCAGTGACTTACAGACATCACCACTAGAACTGTTTGATGGAACTTACTTCCAATCGAAGCATTTGAGAAAGCAGCTTGATGTTGACTCAATCAGGCAATCGATGACGAAGCGGAAGTTTGTGTAAGTTAATATATTATTGTCGTGTAAGGAAGTCCTATGAGTTTGACAAATAATGTGTTACTAATATAAAATAATAACGAACAAATTACAGAAATAACAGATTTCAGTTAAGTGTAATCACCACACGAAAAGAAGTACGAGCATCTCGAACCAAATTTGCGGCACCTGTGGAAGAGCAAACAATTAATCTGAAACATCTTTCATGGAAAATGTATCAAACGAACGGCGAAATACGTCAGGTTTATGATAAAGACTCGCTTGAACATAGCATTAGAGAAACCGTGGCATTCGCAAGAAAACTTTGCAGAATTCTTGAGTCTTGAGGTGTAAGTTATGATGGCAACATTAAGTCTTGAATTATAGGAATTTCAGTTTTAATAAATATGGCCATCCTATCGTATTTATACAGAAGAATGTTATTTAAGATTTCTTTGCAAATATATAAACGAATCTATGTACATTTAATGAGTTCACTACGAATGACTTGTTGGGATATCCATATGCAGGTTGCCTGTCCATCTTCCAAGATTTCAATAAAGCATTCATCTCTACAAACTATGACTGTGCTCTTGAGTAAAACTCTGTCACCTCTCGTCCTCAGTTCCAGAACTTTCACTGTCCTCGTTAGCGCGTCCAGCAACACCCATCTCAATCTTCACTTCTTCATCTTGCAAAAACACTTCACTATCGTTTCCCAGACCTTCATTGATCGTTCTGCTGCGTCTTTTCGCAGCTGCTTTGGCTATTTTGTTAGTCTTCTTGTACACATACCACGTGGCTATGATAAACAGGAGGCCACCGATGAAGATGGTGAGATAATTGATCAATCTCGATGTCTTGTCCATGCTGCTAGAAGATAGATCGCCGAGTCGAGAACCAATGAAGATATGAACGAGTAGTTTAGGAAGGGAAAGAACAGTCGCGAGGAGGAAAGTTGGGAAAGAAACCGTGTGCAAGGAGGCGAAGAATGCATTGGAGTAGGTGTAGGGAAAGGGACTTAGACGGATTAAAAAGATTATCTTTTAAGAGAAACAAGGGCCCACGCAAATGCGAATATATGCAAAAAATTAAGCGCGTTAGTGATAATTATAATGCTTTGCATAATAGCATCACTTGGTTATTTAGTCGAACGATAATCAATACTAACTTTAAATCCACCCTCTTCAACAGCCAAGGATAAAGCAGCAAATTTCCCCTGCTTAGCGAGTAATCGTTTTACATATCCTGTTAACGCCTTTCTAAACAGCCTGTAACAATATAAACTATTAGACAGATTGCCAATGTTTAGTATTCTGATTCAAATTAAATCGCGCGTCCTTTACCAAAAAGAACCAATCGCTCCAATGACCGCTCCTGCAAATGCTGGGACGAAGCCTAGTGGGAAGCCGTAGATAAAACCGCAGACTAGAATTAACGCACTGTAGCTGTAGTAATAATAGGAAAGTACAGAGATTAATAGAGGTACTCGGAGGATGAAAAATAGATTTATTGATCAAGTTTACAATGAACGAACACATACCCCGGAAGCGGAGGAAAACTCGAGAGAGCAATCAATCCACCCATTATAAAGTACCCATATCGTGATGACCGAACAGTTTCTGCAAGTGGTGCAAGCGCTGTTGCAGAGAGTAAAATACGATTTTATAAACATCACTACGACAGATAATTATGAAATATTCTTTTTCACGTATACGAGTAGTTTATTATCTACTCGGAAACGAACCGAGCTTTTTCCTACCTTTCATGATCGGTTCTTCAAATACAAAGAACAACACAACCAGCGCAATAGCTAGCAGTGTCCCCAACGCCAATAACCATCGTTGTTTTGGTGATAAACGAATAAAAAATTCTTTTGAATTCTTTATGAAACGCATGTCTGCACTGTATAATAATAGTGTTTAGACGTGTAATTACTATAGCATGTGAACTGAATATTGTCAGACCGGCTGATGTATTGCTTTGGTGAAGAAGTTGGTCAAGCTATTAATACTTTTTCCACAACGAGATCGTGCAAACGCTGGTTTTATGATGATATTCATTGATTAAGAACCAAAGATTTATGAAACAATAATATGCAACAAATGAATTTCGAAGTTTCAAAAATGTTTAAAAGTCACTCACATTCGATTAATATTAAGCTTGCTATTTTCGTTCTCCGTAATAAACTTTCATCTGATTGACCAGTCTGCTTGGTTTCTCTTCTGGATCCTATTAATATGGGCCAGGTAATCTTATTGTTGAAAACCATTACTATTATTGATACAAATCGTCACAGTACAACATCAGTGCGCCTAATAAAGAACGCGAAACGCCACAGCTGGTGAGTAGAACGGTCAACTAATACAATATTAGGTACTATTAAAATTCACATAACCGCTCAAACATATTCCTAACAGGTGGTAAGAAGAAAAAGAGAAGCATCTAGACTCACAGGTGTGCGCATAGCTCCTAACGTAAGTCCACGGTTTAATGGCGTCAAGAGCATTTCAGGTAATTGTTGAAGGAATGAAATAATATTTTTTGATCTTCATTGCTAACTACGGAAAACTGCTAAAGCTGTTTTTAGACAGCTAGTAAACGATTGAAAGTAGAGCTATCTAAGCTTTATCAACTAGAAAATAAAATCAGTAGAGACAGATAAAAATTTATATTATATATTATAATTAGGGAATGAGTGATTATAGTGACAAGAAGAAGAAGTTTAAGATAAAGACTGGAAATCCAAGAATTAGAGGACCACTAGGTTACAATAAATCGGCTTTAAAGTCTCGTCTTCCTATTACTATTAGATGGAATAGGGATTATCGATTCTCATTAATAATCTGTGTTTCTTCTTACCTAATCAATACGTTATTTAATCGTTAACTAAGAATGGTGTATTATTAAATATTAAGACTTGATTTTCAGAGTATCCTATTAATCGGAATAATCGGTATACAACAATCTCCATCAACGAACGTTATTCTTGTGATTTGTAGTCTATATGACAGCATGATATTATGAATGGGAGACTGTGTTTTCATTAAATTGGGACAACTTGCGAGTTTTGTTTTTATTAATTTTGTGATGTCTTTTTTATTACTTTTTACAAACAACGTACAGTACATTTGCATGTTCACTGGAGCGATTGCATGGGAGAAATTCGGACCCAAAGCCATTGATGAGTATCCCTATACTTTAGTGAAATCTATGCTACATATCATTGATAATATTATCAACATATTCTCCTTCACTCCTCCTTCCTTTTTATCTATCCCTTTTTTAAGCGCTTCGATCGTTTTCTCGAGAATTGTTCTTTGTTGGTGAAGGCCTTTTATAATAAAGACAATAGCGTCTTTTCTTTCACATAATTACTTTTTTAACATTTGACGAAGCAGTTCAACCCAGTAACTCAGAATGGAGATTGTCAAGCGGAGAACTCGTCAAAAATGTCCTCTTACAAAAGACCTCAATGATTGCGAGAATAAGAGACTTGATGCTTTTACAGCAAGTGTCATTAGGTATGTTGTTATGTGATTTTTTTATAAAGCAAATTTATTTTCTCTTTTTTTTTTTTTATTCATTTTTATTTTTATTTTATTTTTGGGTAAGCTTGGACTGTCTTCAATTGTGGACTTATCGTCTGAATTTCCAAACGGTATGCGTACCTGGTTCGGAGAAATCTGAAACAAAAAGTGTAAAGTCGGATAAATATGCAACCAAAAAGTTTCGATGGCTGTATCCTCGAAATATTGAGAACATTGAAACAATACGTAGGATCCCTGTTGGCCTATAATTTAGAGGGTTTTTTGTAACTGATGCTTAACTGGTACCTTTTCTGTACAGATTATTGGTATTCGAATATAATCACCGTACCTCTTTTGGGAGAAAATTCGTCAATCTTTGGTATTTTATCAGGTTTTAGAATGAAGGCTTTACTGATGGGAAAATAATTCTTAATACAACGATAAATAGGCGTGGATTTTCTACATTTTTCGATATCCTATCCTGATCTTCTAATACTGATCATTCTCAATTAGTCGGTATGAAGTCTCGAATCTTAATGAATTAATGAATAAACATGATAAATACTTAACTTTTCGATAGAAGAACATACGAATTATGAATTATCAATCATCCCTTCGCTGCTATTTGCAGAACTTACTTGTTTACGGGTGCAATAAAAATCGGAATGCGCAGTTATAAAAACAAATTACCAGTTTTTTCTATATCTCATCTAATAGGTTTATTGTAATCGGCAGCAAGAACATATTAACATGTGATCTGGAAACTCCTAAAAGGCATCAACTATCAAGAGAAAGCTTCTTAAAGGCTGAGCTTCAAGATCAGCTGATCAATTGCCGGCATGGTACTTGGATAATTTGCATAGTTGAAGGAATTTACTGTTCTATAGGTTCAAACTTTTGTTATTATTATGATATTTCTACCTTGTGTCACATGATATTGTTTTTTGCAGTAATAAACAAGGAACTTCAAGTAGCTATTTGCCAATGCAGTCTCTAAATCAAGAGTATGAGGTGCAATACCTGTTTTTCATACTCTGAGGTGTTCAGAGTAAACACCATGTTTTCCATTAAGAGTCGGTCCTTTTTCGCCCACATTTTTGTAGAAAACTGTCCTAATAAATTTTGAAGGTATTCTATGAAATGAGACGTAGAATTTTATTTATATCTTGGTTGCGACAATTACACAGATCATATGATCAATGGTTGATGGGTGAAAAACATTGCGCTGCAGCTTCATAACCACGAATGGGTAAAATTCTGTCCTTTTTCATAAAATACGATCAAAATTTATTGGCAGCTTTCTACAAAAAATATGGGCGAAAAAGAATATCGAATTTCATATAATTTTTCTAGGTAAGTGTAGTTTCCCTGTTACACTAGATGTGCGGATACATTCATTGTCCGAAATGTCTTTAATATCGTACGTCATTGATTTAGCGATTAAGTGGTGTTGTATCATTACACGTGATTTTAACGAGAAATACAATATATCGATGTTTTTATTATTATGCCAAAGCAACAAGTAGTACATATAAATAAGACTGCGAATATATCGCGTTACATGACACGAATGAAATACAGATAAAGTAATTCTAACTAGGCCGTCGATATACTCAATGGAAAATTTCTGTAATCCCACAGGAATATCTTCTTTAAGCTTTCTGTCTTGTATAAAATAATAATCGTTTATCTTATAAATGCCATCCACGATATTCTGGTTTATTCCGTCAATCTTCCTGCGCATGTCCTCGAGGTGTTCGATGCAATCCTCATCGAACTTGCGAAATTCTTCTATAGCATCTCCCAATTTTTTACTTTCTATAGCTCCGAGTATAACACTTGCTACCAAAGTTGCTACGAAACCGCCCAAGATGAATCCAATTACTCCTCCAAGTCTGCGTACGCTTGCTACTATAATCCCACAGATGGGCTTCACATGCTTAAATATTATCTTTAGAACGTGTATAACAATTACAGTTTCAAATGTGCCTAATAATGCAGTTAACGCTGTGGAGATTTTCTTAAATTTTTCTGCATCCCTTTTCTCAAAGGCTCCTGCTATATCCTTGATACCAAGGTCATGTTCCATCTTTGGAATCTTATCTTTTGTATCTTCCATTACGCTCTTGATTCCATTGAGTATATCATCTGCCTTTTGTGAATCCGGAGTATAGTCGAGTCGTTGCAGAATCCAATCCGGTCGCGTCCGTTGAACTGCGTTATTGAAGGATGTACACATTGTGTTCCAAGATTTTTTAAAATCATTGAACCTCAGTTGGAACTTGATCTGATAGTCCGACACTTCCTTTCTCTTCCTTGCGTTACCCGGATAAAAGATATCTTCAAAGACCATGATGAATGATAGTAAACGTATTAAAGAAAATTTTGCTGTTAAATCCAAAGTTTATCTTTTTTATAACAAAATGGGGAGAGAAAATCTGGTTTTAACAATTAGACTTCCGATGCGTTAAATGTTGATCTGAGCTAGATACGTGTAGTTAGCTTGATATCTAGAAATAATGATTGGCGTGGGAGATATTAATCTGATATTAATGAAGACAAACGCTTGATGGACTTTATCAGCACAAAAATCATGAGAATGTGTTGAATATGCTTATAAACAGGGTCTGTTGCACATAATAATCTTTGTTCCGGAGCATAGATAGATAGATGGATACAATTAATTACACTCCGCGCCTCGTATTTTAAAATTTTGTTGCTTATACATAAGTAACCTCGATAAGTCGGACAACACCTCTCTGCCCTTTTTTTCTCATTGAATAAGTCGGACGACATACTGTATATAAACTCTCGTTAAGTTGTTAGTCTCTGTAATACTGTAATAAAGACTGCGATCCTGACTCGTAATTGTATAAGACCTACGAGATTTTTAATTTTTAGCAGCAGATTATCCAATAAAATTTGTTACTCGCTGATTATTTGTTAATAAAGATACGATGGTTATATTAAAGCACTGGATTATGCATTACGTCATTCCGATTTTTGAGATTTCGGGTTAGTGCCGATTTTCGATTGTTTGTATTTTAATTTTGGAAACAAACCTCTTGCGAAAGGGTTTCTCCTAACATCAATGAAGTATGACAATAGTGTAAACACAGCGTTTACATGCGTCGTAAAAGTTTGTCACAAAGATCCTGCGTATAAACTATAACCACTTTTTGTCTTCCGTATACGAATTGTTTACTTTGTTCGTATGGCAGGAACTAGCATCTGCAACAAGATAATGACCCAAAGCACATCTCGCGTGTTGCCAAGGATTTTATTGTCGAGAATGGGATTTGGGCTGTTGATTGGCCATCCAATAGCCTAGGCCTTAATTCCATAAAAAACATGTGGCAAATAATCAAAAACAATGTTAAAAAACGAAGAATGGGATGCAATTTCAGTTGAAACAGTGAACAATTTGGTTTTATCAACGAAAAAGATGCGAGCTTGTATTGGAAAAGAACGGGGATAAAATTTCGTATTAAATTTTTTATTTATAATAAAGTACATTATAAACTTTCTAAAACATCTAAAGTGTTTAGATATCCTGTGTTGTTAAATTATGCAATTTCTTGTGAGGGCCATTTTTTTCGTAATACACTGTATATGTATATGACCTATTATTTCAACCAGATACCAACTAATACGTAAGGAAATATATAAACCATTTATGGCGGCTTTCCGTGAGTACAGCAAAAAAAAAAAAATTGCACCGATAATCGAATGTTCTCCCTTGTCTGGTCTGATACTCCAGCGTCCGCTGCTCCAGTTAAGTACTAATTCAACTTCTGTAAGCTGGCCTAACGGCAACAGATACTTCCATACAGCAACAACGACGCACAAGAATAGAACTATTATTAGAACAACAACTAATAATAATCATTAGTCGAAGAGTGTATTAATTATAAAAGATTCGACGCGTTTAATTAAGGGTATGTTCCAGTCGCTCCTAGTGAATGAGTCCAATCAAAATTTGTAGACAATAAATTTAACAATTTCACTACCGATCGTAGTATTTTAAATATAAATATAAATAATATTTACTAACACATTCAAACACACATTAAACACGCTCCTCCTACGGAATTTTTCGAGCCTTTTTATAAGCAGAATTTTCTTTTGTGAAACCGGGACGCAATTTGAATGACACTTGTGACAGGGCGTAATTCTATAGTACACTTTTATGCGCTTTACCTCTATATATGCATTCCTCTCTCTATATGCATGCTCTGGATCATTCCCAATGGCATGCATATATAGAGGGTTGACTGGGTTTGTTAATAACATAGGAGTTTAATGTTTTAGCCTAGTATAGAATGTGCTCATATAAAAGCTATATTTGTTATGAAATTAAAAAGTGATTGAGCTTCAACAAGACAGTCAAGTCATCGATAACATGATTAAACTGTTGGGTAGTTGTTACAAAGTCATTGAAAATGATGCTCTCTCACTGGTTTACTATGTATACAATGCTTTTGTCAAGTCAATAATTATGGGAGAGCAATCAATTATCAACTCTTGGGATTAAACTATCTTTTAAATGGAGCTGTGGACTTCTCTACTTTAGTTAAATATAGTGACAGTTAGTGACCTTTAAACTAGGATTTACTACTCACAACCTTGTGTCACTAACTTAGGCATGTGCTTTTGCTAGATTATATGCCAATTTATTTATTTTGTCTGGGACAAGATCTTTCTCATTTTCTTTAATATAATGAGCAAGTTTTTCAGAAGCTTGCGTAGGCGTTGAGGTCGTTCAATTGAAACTTGTAACAATTTTCGACATTGTCTTATGTACAGTCGCACTTCTTATAGTTACCTTCCATATAGTCACCAACTATGTAAATTCTCTGTATAGTCACAATCTGCTCTCCATATAGTCACCATTTTGTCAAAATTTCCTATGGTCCCGATGGTGTGGCTATAAGGGAGTGCGACTGTACGTGTATTATGGGACGGTTGTGCAGATTACACACGCAACTATGGAAAATATTCTTTCAATTCGAAAAAAATTATCTGTCGAGACTCTGGACTTGGTTGACATATGTCTCAAAGTTGAATCATTGCTAAAAAAAAAAGGTAGGTTAAATGTTTCGCAATTATGTTATTCTCAATTTTGAATAAAAAAGTATATTAAAGGTAACATAGAAAATCGTTCGTTATACGTACGTATTAATTTGTTCGTTTGCGAACTCAAAATAGTCTAGGAGTCTAGACTAAATTTTGCGTTATAATCTCGTCTTATTTCTGTGTTGGGTTACTGTCCCAGAATTTTCTAATTATACCAAATCTTGGCTATCTATTTTTCATAACATAAGACAGAAAACAGAAAACATATATTATTCACAATTATCTATGTAGAACCAAATAGAATGAAAATTTTTAATATTTTTTATAGTGACAAACGGTGTTTCCGTTATCAAATATTCTGCATTTATTGTTATATGCAATTTGTCAAATACCGGAATAACCGGAATTGCAATTGCAAAATTGTTCGCGATTGAATAAATCAGTTTGTCGTATACCAAAATAACAAATAAACCCACTGAATCTTTGGTGCAAAAGTGCCAAAATTTACAACGCATTAATAAAGCCCGAACAAGTATATACAGTACTGTGCAAAAGTAATTTGTTCACAATAAAATTTTATTTGTGATGCCAATGTTACCCTAATTAAAAACCGGTTTTACAGAATAAATTACACATCAATTATAAATAAAGTTATGCTATCTAACCTTAGGGTAAGTATTATATTTAGCACTATACGTCTACCTCAAATAATGGAGTCATCTCTCACACAGCAAAGAAGCACTATAAGACAATTGTGGGCTAATAATTATGAAAGCCAAAAGTTCTTTCTGAAACAACAGGTGTCCCATTGTCTACTGTGTACAGATGTGTCGCCCAATTAAAAAAAGATGGCAAGTTAGAACCACTTCCCCGTTCAGGGAGACCTAGAGTGCTTAGTCCAAAAAAGCGACGTCAACTAGGTCACATGGTTCAGCTACAAACAGCAAAGAGCTTGCCACAAGGCTCAACGAATCTAACCCTGGATTGAATGTTTCATGAAGTACAATATCCAGAGAGCTTTCTCGAATAGGATGGGCTTTAAGCCATGCCAAATTGAATTGGAAAAAGGTAGTATTTTCTGGTGAAACCACATTCCAGATATATAGAAATACTATTAGAATTTATTATAAAGAAAATCAACCACCACCACAAAAGCCTATGCCCAAGCATTCTTACAAAGTTCATTTTTGGGGATCATTTTCAGCAAAAGGTCTTATTATTATTGGATATTTTATTTTTATATTTACTGAAAACATGAATAGAGACAAATTCTCAATGAAAATTTATTTGAGAATGCATCTGGTATGATGGGAAAATCTTGGATCTTTCAACAAGATAATGATTCCAAGCATACAGCTAAGGCAACAACAGAATTACTCAAGGCTAAATGTCCAAAAGTGCTCTAATAGCCCAGACCTCAATCCAATTGAGAGTCTATGGGCAATTATGAAAAGAAAGGTTGAAAAGAAGGTGAATAAATGTTTGGTTCCAAAAAAAAAGTAAAAGTTGATGATTTCAAAGATTTTATAAGAGAAGAATAGGAATCAATTGATAGATCAGTTTTACTTAACTTAGTTAATAGTATGCCCAGACGTATTGGTGACTGACGTGATTACAGGGAAAGGAAATAAGATTAAAGGTTAAAATTTCGTATATATATATTTACTATATCTTGAATAAAGTTTATGCAAAATTTCCAACAAATTCAGCTGTTAGTTACCAAGCTGTCAGTTTATTAGTAATTCTCATTACTTCTGCACAGCACTGTAAATCATTTGGTAATACTCGGCCTGCTAAACTCGGATGACAAATAATAGCTAGGTATTTTATTGTACTGAGTATTAAAAGTCTCCGAATGGCATCTTCACCAAGCATACGAGACAATACAATATTTGAAAGCCTCTGCTAATTGATCAGAAACAATTTACAACATGTTTCGTATATAATTGGGTTTGGATAAAATAATTCACTATTACAAGTTAGAAATCGCGAGTTAGATCAAGAGATTAGATCGCCGTTGTTACTCGAACGATGACACGTTTGCGAATTTTTCCCAGCTATTTTAAATAACGACGCGCAGGTGAGCTTCAAAGGTATTCCCCAACTGTCATGGTTAAAAGTTTAGCCGCAAATTACCACTCTTACATGACGACGATGCAAATATGAAGGCATCGTCATTTATTCCCGCGGTAATTATTTCAATTGAAAGAAAATATCTGTATGGGCTATTGAAAAGCGTAACATTTTCTTTCGCAATACCTCGCACTTCGAATCAATTGAAGGCATAATCTACCTGGGTATAAATATCTACATACAAAACGTTTTGGAGATCACATAGTATGACGACACAAACATAAACTTGTCGTACTTGAATGACGACGCGAAATCATCGTCATTGGGATGGTTATAATCCGAACAAAGAGGGATAATTCAGACTATAATTATCTCACTCGCGTAAACTGTGTTAACTTATCCCTGCACGATTTTTAAATTGGCAATTAATTGCAATTGAAAGCATCAGCGCTGGTAATAGTAGGATTTTATTTATTAGATTATGGCTACGGGCGTAGTGCTCAATTCAAATCCAGAATCACATATAGTGTGGCACGACATATTGCAAAGTCATTTAAGGGCAGAATATGGATGGTGAATTGGCCATTGCCAAGTGTCAAAACATTTGTGGCACACGTCAAATGAAACCCTAAAATCGTCTGTGCGTCATGTTCGTTTAACACTGTCATTTCAAGAATGTTATCGTTATTATTATGTGATGCTCCAGTTTTAAACTGGGTATCTGCTTATTTCTTTTCGCATGGCTATTCTTAACCTAGTCTCTGGAGCCAGTCAGATTCATATTTATGCTATCCGTTCCCGAGCTGATTGACATGCATATTAATATTAATATCACATATTCAATGAAACGAGACTCTGAACCGTGGTCAATTCTAATTGGGCAACTATTTATACGAACGACTACTTATCCACTTTTGGAAGTCATGAATGCGTCATCTGACCTGATACCTGATCACAAACATTACTTGTCAAACCAACCCGCGTGAAGCAAATGTGTCGGGAGCATAGACAGTCTATTGTAACGAAATAAGGCCCAAAGAAACTCCATTCGTTACTCGAATGTGATTGATATATATCCAACACACCGTTAATTAGTATATATTTACATGCATTAAATTTAAAAAGTACAGAATGTCAAGGCTACTCTATATACGTATTCTGTCTCATGATAATGAATAAATACTACTTCCGTCAGTTATTATGCTCTTCGGAACTAAAATATTGTCTAAATACACTCTCATTTTTCAAAGCATCATTCTCAGCAATAGCATTATATACATGTAAAAGGAGTCCGGGAAACCGAGAAGTGAAATAATTCAAGAAACCATCAGGAAGGTCGCCTAACGCACGTTTTACCTTTTCATCATCATCCTGGTAATGGTTTTTCTAATGGAATAGATCGTGTCAATTAACACTCGTATTGTCGAGCCTGTAACATTTGGCAGCAATATTTCATACCTTATTTCGCAAAGCACGCAATAAATCTCTAATCTTAATACCATCGTACGATCTATGTTTTCTAAGATTCTCGTTGATTACCTCATCAAGGAAAAAATGCCAATCTGTCCCAGTTATTGCACGAGCCCCTAACTCGAGACGTTTAAGTAATTCGGACGGCGGATCGCGTCCTTCCTTTTCAAATCTATCTGAAGCATCTTGTAAGAATGCAAGACGTTTTGTGGGAGACCAGAAGTAAGGATGCACCATGATACTATCCACCTTCGGCCTATGGTAAAACGGTAAAGATTACAGTGTTCCGATTAGCATAATATCTTCAAGAACGACACCACAATGGTAAGAAACCTTACCTTTTCGACGGATCATTGCTTATCATCCGCTCAATCAGATCTTTGGCTTCAGCCTCCAAATTTTCTATTTTATATGTATTACTTAAAATATTAGCTTCTCTAGAAATAATGTTACCAAACGGATGTCCTCCATTTGATAACACATAGTAAAACAAGCATCCAGCAGAGAATATGTCAATTGCTCTGGTAAATCTCCGTGGCTGCTCATCACTGAATTCATCTGTGTATGACGATGACAAACTATCGTTTGTGTAATTATCAAATGTTGATTGCGGCAACAATTCTGGTGCTCTCCAACCAACAGTTCCCCCACCGCTGCTTGTCCCAGGAAGGCTACTGCCAACTCCCTCTATCTTCTTGCTTAGACCAAAATCAGATATCTTCGCTTGGATAGATGTATTACCCCCTCTCGTTAGTGCTATTAAAATATTCTGTGGCTTGATGTCCCTATGCACGATCTTCATTGCGTGCAAGTAATTCAAGCCACAGATAATTTGGTAGAGAAGGGTCTGAGGTTTAACAGACGCAAAAGCTGTAAGCAATTCAGGATTCTGAATAGCAGCCCGCCGTTCGATAACCTCGTAGAGTGATGCATCACAGAGCTCAAGAGCAATGTAGTAAAACTGCTCTCTCTTTTCCATGCAGTGGTAGCGTATTACATTAGGATGAAAATCGTGTTTCTCTAATAATGATACTTCACGATCTACTATGTCATAGAAATCGGTAAGAAGACGCTTAACCGCAACCTCACGACCCCCAAATGTTCCTTTGTATACTACTGTCCCATGACTTCCTCTACCTGAATTACAAAATAGTAGAGGTTATACACCATTCCGAACGAACAAACCAAATATGTAAAAATCACGCGTGTACTCGAATTTTGACAAACATACCTATGCCGATATCTTCTGATACTACAAGTTTACTGAGTTCTACTTCACGAATTGTTTCCGTGCCTCTAGAAGAAACTGTGGAGTCGTTGATAATGGACGTCTGAACAGCGGTCGTGGGCGATACATTCTCAGTAACATCAAAAGAAACCTTTTTGTTTGTCGTAGAATTTTTCCTCTTTTTTTTGGTGGGTGTGCCCTTCTTCATATTTGTTGATTTAGGAAATATCTGCTTTTTTCTAAACTTTTGCCCACCATACTGCGTCCACGTCCATATCCCAATTACTATAACAACTAACCAGGAAAGTCCTATGTAAAGCCTAGAGTATCGAGTCTCATCGGGACTGCCAGATGATGGAGCATCCTCAGAAACAATGTCAGCTTTGTTTTCAGAAGATGATGAAATAAGTCGTTGTTGTTGAGATATTGTATGTTTTCCGATCAAACAGTGAGGATAGCTTGCAGGTTTCAAATAGCATGACTCTTCACTATCATCGTCAGTACCAGCCACAGAATAAAACGGATAATCAGCAACAGGAGGCGGGTTAACTTTTGCCCAATTTCCATGTAGAATCATCGGATAATTATCGCCGGACATTGCAAAGTAAGTACCTTCTCGGAATCCTATATAAGTCGACAAAGTTGGGTCGAGATTGTCATTTTGGCTATTGGGTAACTTGGGCTGGCTGACTACATAGAGCGGACCAGAAAGATCCTCTCCTTGGACAATGTCGAATATAGCAATCGCTGTAGACGGAAATTTTCTAGACCACATGGTCGTGCCTGCAGGGAAAGTTCGAATACGTATATCGCAATTGTCAATTCAATAGTACACAGGCACGCTTATTTCTAATTAACAATCACTCATGCTCCTCTTCTCTCAAGTGTAGTAATGATATGAAACGTTTTACTAACCGCTGGTGACGTCTGTAGCACGTACTTCATCGTCGTGAGCCGAGGCAATGTAATATGGAGATTCATAGTTTAGCTCATCGGAATTACTTGGGACAAATTCGTTGAAAATTACATCCAGAGCTGGCTTAGTGCTTCCTCTGTTGTGTATCTTAAGTGTGTATTCTATGTTTTATAAACTGTCTGTCAGTAAACTGAAAGTCAATAATTGTGATGTGCATTTCAATGAAGTAGACTCACCGTTCTTCCCAATGTATAAAATATCTGCTGGCAGCACTTTGGGAGCGAAACACTCTCCGTCGCTATCAATAGATTGAAGAAAGTCGCCATTTCGAGGGTCAATCGCAAAAAATTTAGACTTTTTGCTCCCAACGAAGACTTGCCCGGTTTCAGAGCGGCGCGGGGAAGCCTCAACAAGCGATTGTATTGTCCATGGAAATTTCTATAACGGAGAAGAACGAGGAGTTAGTATGCAGCAACAATTTTCTAGAAGCCTACATTCCAGACAAATACCTGCAATCCCGTACCGCGAGAATACAAATATAGTGTTCCCTTATTAATTGGTTCAACTATGAATTTAAATTTATCATCGTCGGGCTCACCATCGACATCTTCACGAACCGAGTCGACTGGTTCTTCTACATCATTTGACAAAGCATTTTCACTCTCCGATTTGTCAGAAACCGCATCCGACCCATATTCGTCTTCCTCCTGTTGAGTAGCCTGCTCCTCTTTTCGGAGTGATTTAACTAATGGTCCTCCGGCTGCATGGTCTTTCGACCACAAGATTTTACCAGTTTTTCTATTAACGCAATGCAAGCTTCCGTCAATAGTAGCTATCAAAACTAGAGTGGTTACTTTAAAATCTTGCTGGGTAGGCTTTTCGGGGAAAGCATTGGCGAGAAGACGCTTTTCGTGTGTTTTATCGACAGGTGCCAGGTCGTCTGAAATTTCTTGTGCTTTAACCCAAGTGAATGTTGTCATGCATAGTATAATGCAGAACAATAAAGGCCACAAAACCAGAAGGGATCTTTGCCTTGCAACAAAACCGTTTCGTTGCTTCATCGTCTCCAACCCCAGCTAGTCTATATTAAGTTGAAAAGGTGGATTATATTGCTTAAATATGTATTTGCTATGAATGTGTATATTGTAATTGGTTTAATTCATACGGAATGTGTGCCGATAAACTTCGTCGTGAGAGCCGGATGTTTATGTGAACTATCCCGTGAGATATGAACTATCCCGTGAGCAATTGTGTTACATACAAAAAATTTAACAGCCACATTATGATAATTTCCACTGCTATTTCTGTTTTGGTCGGCCTCCACCAATGAATCAAAAGAATAGTGATGGGAAAAGCATGCATCGATGGCGCAATGTTTGATATCATTCTGGTGGGGGGCGAAATTTCTATAAATATCTTTCGTAAAACATTATGAGAACGTTACTTTCTGGATGAAAAAAGATCTCATTTTTCAGTCGAGAATAAGAATGCCTATTAATATCGCACCCTTAACTCAACTCGACTCTAGATTGACATTTCTCTTCTTTCGATTTCACAGCAATCGATTTCATAATTTGGCACATAATTCAAACGTTGGTATTTCAGTCATTACTATATTAAACTCCAACTTTATTTACTAGAATTTCACAATTGCACACGTAATTGAGATTTGCTTCTTAGTGTTAGTCCTTATTGGTTATGGAATAAGTTTGGGTTTGATTATTCACATGTATGTACTGTGGGAACATTAAACTATTCAGTATTACATACACATGATAGTGGTCAACTTGGCCTCTTGGACTTTAACTTTCTTATAACTTCATTCGAGGTAGAGACATGTTTCCGAGAGAACATCTGAATGTGCTAGTGATAATAGTAACATTAAAAATGATATTTTTGGGAGAAGACCCGCAAAGCGCGAGTCTAAAGAAATCGTTTGCGTGGGTTCTCTCATTTCCCGAGCTGTGTCTCCCTGTTGATGACCCTGTTGATGAATTGTCCAGATTCGATACTGTATTAGATTTTCTGAAAGAAAACATACAGGACTTTAATCCTCTGGATATTTTATTGCCTAAAAGCACGTGCCATAAAAAGGAAATAGTCTTAGCTTTTTGAGGCAGGTTTTATTACTCCCACCTCAAAGCATGTACGCATTACTTCGAAAAAACGTTCGATGCTTTATTATGACTTGAACGCAGAACCGATTCATATACCTCTATCTCTTAAAACAATGATCGAGATGTCTATCAGGTATTTTAGGTCGCACTAGTGCACTAGTTTATTTCACAAGCAAATATGCTGCACCCTCAGTTTAATTAATGAGAATAAAACGCATGGCCCCAGATACAGTCCCGAAAAGTAATGGCGGGTGATTTCACATATTATTATCAAAATCTGTGTATAGTAATAATTATTTTAACATTATTGAAAAACGTAGATAGAAGTACCGTATTATTCGGTGCAGCGTGTTTCTTAAAATAATCGAACTCGTAAAAAATTTTAAGAATAAGCCAATTTTAAACATTAGAAATATCTAAGCATTTTGTTTCTGTGTCTATCTGATTAAATATGATAACAATTGACTTTTTCAAAAAAAAAGAAGCTTTAGGCTCTTAGCAGCACCAGCCCTCAAACAACTTTACTTAAAATTAGACAGCTTTGCGGTAAAAGCATATTTTAATCTTTCAGATGCATACTTACACTTACAAATAATAGTTATTGTGCCTATTTCAGAAAAAAGCACACCGCCATTACTTTCGGGGGGAATAAAACTTAATTAATTCGCGCTCTCTGAAAATTCTCATCTTCATTATCGTTCCATAAAAATGCTTCTATAGTGTTCGCACTTTCGGATAATAGATGCTAATACGTGAAAAATGTTACATATTCTGTTGCTTCTATAGTGCAATTTATACAAACCTCATATTTCAAGAATCCGATTACAGTCTCGTGCACATGCTTCATATCTTTCCAAGTTTTTGGAGTAGAAAATCTGAACGTCTCTTTCATGATGTACACCTCAAAATATTTGAGCTGGAATTCATATACGATAATCTCATATACTGTAGAATTCAGAAGCTTAAGCAACATGCCACCACATAATATTTATAACAAACGCGTGTTGCTTATTTTCGGAAGAATGCGGTAATTGATGTTAATGCCGTGTCTGTAGACTGTGTCAATTAGCATGCCACGAAAGTTTTGCAGTTCTGCGATTTCCGAAATCAACTTGTTTATACTTCTAAATAAGGACGTAACACGTATCGATGTTGATGTCAGCGAGATAACATATAATGGCGACTACATGATCGAACAAACCCGGTGGAGAACGTCTAACAACAAAACACCGCTCATTAGTGGAGCGAACAGAATATTTCCCACAACAAGAAGCCATCAAAGATTACAACGCCCTACCAAATCCTCTTCAAGAAACCAAACGTAATCTCGAGAGTGAAGATGACGAAAATATAATCGATGCACGTACGATTGTGGGTATGACAAATCCTTTCATCGCTAAGGGACTAAACAATGAAACTTTACAAAGTGTAATGGCAACTGTTTTATGGTCGCCGATACAAAGTTATTTTCGATGTGGATTTTGCTCTGAATGTGGAATTCGTTGATGGACTGCAACAATAACAACTCAAATACAGCTAATGATGCCTGTTTAGAAGCGCCAATCAGAAAATTGAAACTCAATCATTCGAGACGTCTTACACGAAAGTATTTCATACTTGTAAATTTAGTCAGAAATCAGACATATATTCTTTTTGTATTATCACGTATCTTTTTTTTGTATTATCACGTATAATGATTGCCATCAGTGAACCACCTTTCAGAGATAGGCAGTTTGATAGAAATCAGTATGCGATGCCTATTCAGCATTGACTGATGCGTTGTTGTGATTGTAAGGGGATATTAGCAATCACATCTCTGAATCGCTGCGGCGATAAAATCTGACGTTTGAAATTCATTGTCATAGACCGTTGTCGAGAGGGAGAGCAATATTCCCAATAAGCTTTTACCCACTAGCAATTTATATAAACTAAAAAACAAAGACAAAATTGGTTTTGTGTGTGATTGTGTTAATTTACAATATTAACATCGTCCATTGTTTTATAATTTAACAACTCAAAATTTGTGGCTCACGTTTTATTTACAGTTTATACAAAGTTTCACTCTTTCAATAAAAAAATTGTCGCACGATGGACGTTGATACGATTTGTGTGTCTGATTCCTTAATGTATCAACCATAAATATGCCCGTACGTAGATTAATTGCATTAGAAATTGGAAGTTTGGTGCTTAATTTGTACTGATTTTTTCTAACGGCTTCCCTTGCCTTTTTAGAGTTGTCGCAAACGGTTGGTGTCCAATACAAAGTACATTTTATTTATGCAGAAATTGTCCAACCCTACAAAGTTTCATCGTCGTAAATGAAGAGAATGGTTTAGATGTCCATCCTGACTATTTATTTTCCAAAATGAATGCTCTTTTAAACTCGACAGCGTGACTGATACATTTATATCTTTGCCGAAAGTTTATGCAATTTATCTTTAACTGATATAATTTCTTAAGCGTTTCTACTGAAAGATTATTACAAGCGCGTTATTCTAAGAAAACTCACAATGACACAAAATTCTGGCTTTGGTTCTATAGCGATTATCTGCGTATAATCGTCGTTTCTGCATCAATTGGGATTACTCTTTAATACGTACTTACTAATTATAACAATTAATTTGAAGAATTCGACGTCCGAGGCATAGATGATGTTTGAAAACCAGGTGAAAAACTTGGTACCCCACTCCGCTTGCCATATCCTACACAAAGTGTTTCCAGAAACGGTTTAAAAGTGATCTGGTTAAAACCCCTTGATCAAAACCGTTGTGGCTCCTCAGTTTGCTTAATTTGGAAATACAAATATAAATAGTATCAACATACGCTTACATATGCATATTAATATTGCTATTACAACAATGTCAAGATAGTCTGTCACCCTAGTACTAGCACTAACACTAACACTGAACATACATTCTCATGTTTGTTGAAAAGTACCATATTTGCTAAGCCTCACATTCCTTGATTATGCTGACCGTGAGAAAAAGCTTATTTGATGATCATATGCGGACAGAAATTACAAAAATAGCAAACTCGAGCAATCACAGGTGATACGAATACCCTCCTGACTCACATGGCAAACAATTATCTGGGGACGCTAAATGAGAATATCGATATACCGACTCTCATTTTGATACTGGGTTATCGTGATGCAGTAGTCCCTGTCCACTAAATTGGATGGGACAAGATTCGCTATATCTGAGAACAACTAACTATATTAGATATCATCACGTTTATTAAGGTGGGGGTAAGCAGATCGTCTTTGTAAGCATAATATAACAATGTGTGAGAGATAGTGGACTGTGGCTTTGCACATATTAATATAAAAGGGACCCTTTGTTATCTCGCAAATAATACGAGACTTGCTAGTCTAAAACCACAGGTCTGATGATGCACCCTTGACCACATCCAACATTCATATTGTTATCCAATGCCATCCGTGACTTTTGGTAGTCGACATTCCGTTCCGTTAGTGCGTATGCGATTATTTATGCATTTGTCTCCTTCAGATGAGTTGCATTGACAAACATATGATTTTACAGATCACATTTGATTCGTGTCTCCGTAATGTATATTTTAGTCTGTCACAAGTTCTTTATATGATGTCATATTAATATGGTTACTATCAACGCATAGTAAATAACGCAAGGAGTGACGTAAGCCACATTTTAAAAGCATGTGAAAGATAGGAGACATATATAAATCAAATGTAAGCGCATCACTCGGCATTATTAGAAAAAAACTCCAACTGCCCCCAATCTTTACATTCGATTATGGAGAAAGGGGATTGCGATAGTCTAGCAAGTGAGTGTCACCCATCTTGTGGTGTTGAGAAACGTTGAACGGATAGTTATGGCTTACAAGTAACTGGGCTGTATATATCATTAGGATTAATTGAAGACCTTGTCTCGTACGACGAGAATAGACATAGGCATATCCTTGATAACTACTTTGATGAAGATGCGACACTTTCGCATCCATTCCTCACCACCAAGGGGACTTTCAACATCCGTAAAGTATATCGTGTATGGATCTCTCTTAATTCTCAGGAACCAAGCATAGTAGAAACTCCCGTCTTTGAGTAAGCATACAAAAAAATCAGCACTGTTGAGATATTCAGAGATATCAATTGTAACAATGACTACTTGTGATTTTTCGATACTAATTCACCATCCTTCCTTTCCATGCATATCAGTGGTGAAACTGCTGTTGTTCGCACCATACAGCATCTCCGTCCACGTATTATACCTTTCATTCATTTGCAAGTGCCCGCTCAAACTATTCTCAAACTCCGGGAACGCGAGGATGGCAAACTTGTCGTTTACCATCAAGAAGACAGCTGGACTCTCGATGCCTTAATCAAAAGCGTTCCTCTCGTAAACTGGTGGTACGAAAACGTTGTCCGCGTAGCCTTGGGCAAACTTGTCAGCGGGGCTGGCTCGTTTATCTATTCTGCTAACCATGCTACCTCTCACCTTACGGCTCGTGCTGGCGAAATCGGTGTCAAGGGTCGTAGTGTCATCTCGCAGGCTCAAGTAAAGGGTGTTGGTTTTGTAACTCCAATTCTTAGTTCCGACTTTATGACAAGCAATCAGCAAAAAGTCAGTCAATTTACTGCGCCATATGCCGAGATGTTGGTTGATGGATCAAATAAGGTTTCCGGTTTGACCAACAAAGCCTTCTCTGCTCTCCATCAGTTTACTGGACGTAGAAATTACGAAGTTGAAGCTCAATAGAATTCGATAACCAACTGTTCGTTGATGGGATCGCGTATATATATGTATTCAGCACGTAAATTGCATACATACATGTATATATTAAACAAGCGTTGTCTAACGTCGATTGTTGTAATATTAATTCTCCGTCGTCGTTATCCGTGATCAGATGATGGGTGGATTAATAAATTTTATTTTTTTTTCTCCATTTTTTTCCTCTCCGAAACCAATTAGTCACAAGATGGAAATATTTCATGGAGTTTCATTAGGGTTGCTTCGAGTAACCATTATTCAGATAAAAAAAACAATGTGAACAACACGAACAATAATAAAGCAGCTGTTGTTTAGCAAACGGCAAGCTTCGTCTCCCTTTGAAGGAAGTTAACAAATGTAGTACGATTCAAACCGGATTTTATAAAGAGGCGCCATTCCAAAAAGACATCTATAGGTTTGATGCGGGCGAAAATATGAGTAAATATTTTAATCTTAATATTCGCCTTGAAAACCTTGCCTTTGTTAATGATTCGGAGGTGTCTGATCGTTTTTTATCCTAATGCTAAACCATAACAAACGGCTGCCAAGCTTTTAGTATACGTTAACCCTTCTCGGTGAGACCGGTGCAATATGTACCTTTGGGTCGGGATCGCCGAATAGAAAGAGCGATATTAACAATATTTTTGTTGGGTGTATGTCGACGTCGGGACAAGTTACCCAATGCGCGGTGTTGATATTCCATGCGAAATAAAAGACTCGCGTTTAGACTGAAGTAAAATGATTTTAGTCAGATAAACAGTCTATCTTACTATATCGTAATTGTTGCTGATAAGAAAGCTGTTCATTTAAAATTTATCTTGACGTTCTATTTTTAATATCAAAGATAGAACACATAATTACTATACTCGGCTCTAAAAATGGTTTAATATTAACTTGCCCCAAATTAATTGCCGATCTTATACACGTCAACCTGATATTGAAATGACAAGTAATTAATAATTCTGTTTATTAAAGACCTAAAACAATTGCTTCTCCTGCAGACAATTAAGGTCATGAGCCACAAGGGATGATTAACATAAATACTCGTATAAAATTTTCACTATAAGAAATTGGAAGAGAGGTTGAGCTTTCCCCATAATAAGAGCATTATAACGCAAGCTTGAAATGTAAGAAAGTATGCTATTACTATCAGGTAGACCTAATAATAATTCTAACAGGAAATTGTGTTTAGAACAATTATTTCTAACAATCATTTATGTAAACAATCTTGCTTACTTAATATTAATTAACGTATTTGCCTCTTGCACTCCCTACCTCTTAATGCATTAGATTCAAATAATTAAGGCTGACGTATTTATAGAAATCAAACATTGTTCACGTTACAATTTTTTTAAGTTAGAGGAATTTGCGCATGTACCTGACCACATAAAATATTATCCAAATGCTTACACGTGATTAATATTTTTAGATTCGCGATTCTTATTTCTAGGGTAATGCTTGATCACGTGCAAAAACTAGTAAACTAAGAAGCGCGAGATCAATGAAACGGAAGCAAAAAGTTGTTAGTTGATGATTGAATTATAGAGTCGAAAGGTTGTCGCAGATGATATCGTTGTTAAAAAATCCTTCAAAGGTTGGAATTGTATATTTCAACAAAATTACTAAACTTTCGAAACTTTCGCCTTGCGATCAACTATAACAGTATCCATTAATCCTGCGTTATCATTGATTCGAAAAAACATTGTCAGTGAAGTAACGCGTTTGCGTATCATCTAAAAAAAGATTTAGTGACCTTTCAATCTCCCATAATTGGAATGCTTTATATAAATTCTATTCAAGAGCTTTTACGAAGCACTGTATATATAGATAATCGGCACTCATCCAGCACAATCTATAATAACAAAATACGCACAAGTTACTACTTTTACCAAAAGACACCCCTCGCTTTAGCTCGATCCATTCCAAATTTAACGACTTGATCATTTTTCCTACTCCATACAATCTCCCTTGTTCTCTGCTCTTTGTCTACTTCTTCTATTCTACTCAAAACATTATTCAATAACTCATCGAATCCTTCAGAATTCACAATCCCCTCAAAAATATTCATCAACATCTTGGAATCCGCTGTAACGTTATTATCTGTGTCAACAAGTATTATATTATCGTGATCGAGCCTTCTGTGGAAGCTCGAGTTACCAGTGATAATACGGCAGTCGTTCAAAGGAATTGACTTTGTCGGAGATTGAACTATAGCACGAATTAGCTTCCAGGCGGCTGCTGCATATTTCTGGTTGTCAAATTCGGATTCTTCAAAGTCAGGAATCAAACCTATCGTGTTTATTATCCATGTTCGCTCTTCGTGTTCTATTATTTTAATCATGACTGCAAACACAAAGAAAATAGAGCAACAGTGGACGTGAGTAACCCGCGGGCGAATAAAACAGACCGTGGTTGTTTGTTTTACCATGCTTACCTTCAAGATCGTTTGCCTTTGCTAATCTATTCAGAAATGCCAATCGCCCACCAACACATTCCTTAACATATCGTTCATAGACTTCGTCTGGTTCTTTTCTATGTCGTTTATCCTTTAGGAATTTAACGGCATCCTTTAATTCCAAATCCTCAATTCGGATGACTTCCATGCGTGCTGCATCTCTTTCTATAGCGATGATGTATTATTATCATATGAACCACATAATCTCGCACGTGTGAAAAGTCTATGTGTGAAAATCAGTAATAGCGATAGATACGTACTCAACCTTTCGTAGACCGCATAATCATCAGTGTTGAAAATCATTGTCACGAGTCTGGTAGCTGCCCATGCTTCAGCACGCTGCCGAAGAATTTCTAGCAGGTCAACCCCTTCTTCATCTTCACCAAAGGCATGGATGTTGTTGATGACAAGAACAAGTGGACGTCCACGTCGTCGCTGATATTTGTACGCAACCAGTTCAACAATGTTCAAGGCTTTTTCTATATCAAGTAAAGCTGAACCTAGAGAAACAAGAGAAATACAACTTAAGATAGGCATTCACATGACAAGAATATGTTTTATCCCAACCATGTAAGCTAACATGTCTTCCTCAATTCGACGTTTAGTCCAGTCCGTCCAAGAGATCTTGCTCCCAATTTCTTCATACCCATATACCTCCACCTTCCAACACCCACCTCTCTCCGGCGCCTCTCGAGCAAATAATTGTCCAACATAATCCTCTCTATACAAATAGTTCAGTGCCCTTCCCAACCTTGCCTTAAATACCTCACTATCCGAATGTGCCTCACAGAACACAATCCCATAATGACCAACTTTATCCATAGCGTTCAGCACCAATTGCGTCTTCCCCGTTCCCCTTTCACCCATTAATAAGTAATACTTTGCATCCGTGTGTCCAGTTACAGCACGGTCTATGCGTCTTTGCTCGTCTCGATGGAAGTAACCGCGTTTGATTCGCGATTTCAACAATGGTGAGGGTTCGGTAAAGGACTTGTAGACCTTGTGTACTTCACTCCATTCGTACCTTGGAATGAATATGTTCAAAGACAAGGTTAATACGTGATTCGGGAATTTGTTGTAGCAATTGTAGTAAGGAATCATATGATACAGCAGCGAAAAATCGAACGAATTGACAGTCGATAATAGCATAACAGATGGAAATGTACATGCAAAAGAAAGGCACTCCTGTGATGCGCTCAATTCCCGACGCGAGTCAACCAACCTACCACGCATGATAAGCCGTACCGCCGATTCCAACGGCAGCCAAACCCATAACAGTAGTTAACACAGCATCCATAACACGAGGTGATAGCATAGCCATGAACTTGCTTTGCTGTGTCTGTTGTTGACTTTTATGAGATTTTTTTGGCCTGCCATGGTCTTCGTCCAAAGCTGTCTCGGCAGACTTTTCAACAATCGGCTGGAAAGGATCTTTTTTCAAAGTAACAATTGTATCAATTACTATCGAATTCCGGTACTGTCAACGTTCGCTTGTTTTCTTGGATTGATAAGAATGAATGCGATACCTGGAAATGGATCCCATACGCCAGCAGCATTTGTATCTTGATTTAAATACCGTCGCTGAACAAATGTCTTAGTTATCCAGTTCGACTGACGCCAACATGATTGTACTATGCGCATTGAGCACTGCCGTGATAATTGGCATTGATGTTGGAATGGGAGAATTACGACTCTATGCATTTGTAGATGTATCCTAATAACTCGAGGCTGCCAAACGATTAAAACGAGCGAACGGGAAAGAATATACTTGTGCGATCTGCTCTCGGATTAACAATTGGGTAAAGCGACATGCTGTGCTACTGAGAGATGACAGCGCAATGTGTTGAAGGGTAAGTCAACAAATTTCCAAATCTAAATGTGTAACAATAGAAATTTAGTATTCGTGAAAATGCAAAAATTAGTAGCATAGTTGCTAGGCATCAAAAACTGTATTGTACAAGGGAATATTATGAATATTTGTCAGATAATATTAATATGCAATATCATACAAACGCTGTAATTTCTTCTTCCACGTCAATTTGTTGTATATACCGGAAATTCTTTATACTGGACGGACTGATTCTTGCGCACCGTTCGTTTCATATGAAAATTCTTTGTTTATACCGGAGTCTCTTATAAACTTTCCATATACCGGTTCCGGAAGGACAAAGAAAGCTTGCCCACCCGTCTGGTATAAACAGAGTTGACTGTATTTCGATCCAACCAAGACAAAAGATTACCATCGTTAGCATATTACATGTACTCTTTTGTTTCTGAGTCTTGTGTGACTCCATAAATTGCAGTCAGATTAAATATCACTTTAATTAGTAGTATCAAAGTTTCTCACCTCATAAATAAATAATTCCAGCTTCTCTTAACCGTTTGCAGTTTCTGGCATATCCAATGAATACTTTCTATATTTGGCAGTATAGACCGTTCCATAGCCACCAGATCCAAACTCTTTGATCTCATCAAAGTTGCTATATACGTGGTGGATTAAAAAGTTCTTGCCGCTTGGCTTTATTTCGGAAAAACCACATAATAATTTTAAAACTAACTAAGCTATTTCTTCAAAATAGTCATCTCTTACCTTTATATATTTTTGTAACCTCTTCCGCCAATTTTCAAGACTTATGTTATATCTCTTGTGGGATACTATCAACAACTGTCTGAAGAGCCCTAACAGATCCTGTTATTCTCCTTATTACAAGTGCTTTCTTAATCCTAGGTAAAATAAAAAAATTGCATGATGTTATCTATAGACGTAGCAATAATTCGACTCGTATTTTGCTTCAAAAAATACCATGTGCGACGAGGTGCAAGCATTGTCATATGCAGCAGCACATTGTGGACAGTTACTCTCTTTGTACCTTCAAAAAACGGAAGGTAGGATGTAATTAGAATAAAGCTCATTTACTCTCGTATCTGTTTTTATTGTTTTCGACAATTTTTCCAAAATTGCTTCGCAAAGGGATCAAGGATCGTCTTCCAAGTAGTTTTTTCCATCATGAAAATTTTAACCAGCTGTCAAACTGTGCATAATGTTAGTGCATTATGTATACAAGACTTCATTAATATTGCATTAATTTTACTAACATTTATCGCGTCTTGCCATTTCAACAGATATGTAGAATCGGTATTGTTCACGCGGAATTCGAGCCAGTGGTTTCGATGAACAAACTTTGAACAAAGATATTTCAACAACCGTCTATTTAAAACAAACCAAATTTGATTTGGTTTAAAGATCAGAACTTGAGCTTTTATTTGATTAGTATCATGTTGTCATCCGTAAAACGAGAGGCATACGGCAAGAACTTTTTGATCCACTCACGTATACTGTAATGCCCATATCAGTCGTACTGTCTAATGTTAAACAGTGCGTAGTAATATAAAAGTGCAATTAATAAGAAGTATTCTTATAAACCTAAGCTTGAGTTTTTTTTTCTTTAAGATTAACATTAATATAAAATTTTTGAAGCTAAAAAATTGACAAATTGATTTAATTGCAATTGTCCTTTTTATTGTCCCCCGAAGCTGCATGCTTTAAAAAAACTCTGTTTAGATCACAGCAGACTTATCCTTTCTTGCAATCAGTTACCGCAGCTCTGACTTACATATTAAAAGCAATCTACAAAATTTCATAAAGGTATCAATTATGTATTCGAGGCTGTGAATTGCACAGTCAGGAGCTTGTAAAAAGGCTTGCAGAGCAATGAAGCTGTGTATTGCTTATTTGCATTGTAATTGTTTCAACTGGTAAAGTAACATGTATTTACACTCTTACTTTATTCGTTACTTATTATCAGGATTAAGACGTTGGTAATATTTCCAAACACTGCAATATTAATATATTTGCATGACGTCCGGATACTGCATTTATCAATCCATTATAATTGCTTGTTCTTCAATCATCAGGCGGGGCCAATTGGCACATATTCGGAGGTTGCCTATCTCCTCATCTATGGCGACAAAGGCTCAATACACCGACTTCTCTCATACAGGTTTAATATTATAGCTGGCGCATAATCGAATTTTTACTATGGTGCGCATCCTATGAGAATGTTTATATTTAGCATAGCTGCAATGAGTACTTTCCATCCTATTGCTAATTGGTATGATATCGGTCAAAGATTACAACGAGATGCAATACCGACCCTTGTCCCTAACGCTGCACGGTCACGTATTTCATGAGGCATACATCGTTCCAATTGTTAAATTCTTCATTATTGCACATATACGTATTTCCACCATACATGCTTATATACTCCTCTTCCTCGTTATCATCCATTATCCTCGAACATGCTTGCAACACAATCCTCAAACATCTCTACTGTGTTGTGGCTTAACACAATCTCCCAATATCTCGAAGTTGAAAAAGGATCGGTCATCTTCCCAGGCAGTGGACATTATGGAGCTGTTGTTCTGTGATAAAGAGATCGATGGAACCATTGACTTTAGACACGTCGAGGAATTGGGAGGATCTTTTCCCTTTTCCCCACCGCTGCCTACAAACACCAAATATACTACCACGAATATTACTGCGTCGTCGAGAGAAAGCACGACAGGAGAGATATGCTATGGAAGATATGACTGGACAGATACCATAACTTCCTCCAAACTCCCTGCATTGAATTTGGCACAGAACAAGCCATAGATGTATGGAGGCCATGAATGATTTTACAACTAATAAAGGAACGCAAAACTCCATGAATGATTATTACAGGGCAAAATTGGTTTGACTGAAGGAGAACAATAAGCGTTAGCATAGAGTTACAAGTGTATAATAGCTGATAGGTAACTTATGTAATGATAGGAACCACACATACCTGATGGGATAATCACCATGTAAATTTGTATGTGTATTTAATAGTCCTGTAAATTTCACAGCTTCTCAAATGTGCGCTATGTTGAAGTATACAAAGATATAAGAAATTAGCGAAAACATTATAAAGCTAACAAGACTTGAAACCAGTGCCGCGAGAGTACTCGCCTTGACAATTGGAATATTTACTTGTTCGATGCATTGTATACGAATACAAAGCACATTGATGCGTCCATCTCGTTGTAATCTTTGATCGATATTCTTCCAAAATTACAGATGTTGGAATGATGCAAACGAAACGAAGAATTTAAACTAACATTCTTTCTTGACCTCTGTTATCAATGATACTAGCATTCGCGTACTACGATGAAGTAGCTCGGAACACTAATAAATTATCTTTGCGGTAGATCCGGGATCCATTCATTTCCCCGACAATTGACTACCAAAAAAGGATAATTTCGAAATAATGTTGGTGAACATTTGTCGGGGAAACGAAGTGATTGTCGTTGTCGGGAAGTGATTGTCGGGGAAGTGATTGTCGGAAATGAACCAGACCCATCTTTTTGCTATACTGCAGCATTTGTAAATGTTCTCTCGAGATGAAAAAAATTTTTTAATTCAAACTATGTCGCTAACGTCAGTTAATAATCCAGCAATTGATAACCTCCCTGGAACGTGAAAATAAAAACTCAAATTGACAACGTCTATTATGCTAGTCGCAAGCGAACATTGCATAATGGTGAAGTGACAATGCTGTTATCACTTGAAAATAATGAAATTTGCACACCAACACTTGTGAGTGTATACTCACTTCCAACACAGACGTACAATAATGAGTTTAGAAGATATTCCACATGGCTTGAGAGTCGCAATAAACTCATAATTGGATTTATTGAATATGATAACAACTATTACATGGTTGTTGAGGAACTCTTTTACCACTGTTATTCCCGCTATGGATTCTGCTCCACATGTGGGATACTCCGATGTAGTCCCGTTGCGGTTGTAAACAATTATCCAATGGGGTGGACTAGCAACAATAAGCCCCGATAAGTTTATTAAGAAATCTCAATTACAAACAAGCTCAGCAAATCATGCCTATTTGGAATGGATTCCATATGATTATGTTTATGACGATTGGGTTATATGGTCTACCTACTCAAATTGGTTCTACTTGAGATAATAATAACAGACGAGACACATGATTTATATTATGCTGAGGTAAACCATTTACTTATGCGTCATGTTTATTGAATAGTTTAAATAATCATTGACTTTTATATATCACTAGTAATGTGATGAGCATCCAGATATTCTTACCCCGGATGTTTGGGTTGGGTTACCATCGGATTCATATGAAGAATAAGTATGATGCCTATATACAATGGATCGAATACTCACGATGATATCAATGCACACATATAGCAGATTGCTAGAACCGACAACAAATCAAACCGATAGTGATGCGCGTGTAAAATGCAATCGATAAGTGCGTATCGTGCATTTAACATCGATTATTGTTCAACAGTTAACTCAGGAATACCCAGAGATATTAACACCAGAGAATATTTGGATTATTGGTATTACTCAAGAACCGTCGACGCAAAAATATTATTTGGTGTTCTACCACGACATACATGCACTATTGGACAAGTTCATACGACTTACGGAAATGAACGTGTAATGTACATGCAATATAGCGACTTTTACGAACTCAAAGAGATCGGTTCTGGTGGTTATGGAACAGTTCATACTGCCAGATATAAAGGTGAGTTAGAAGTAAGGTATATGCAACAAACTGTTGTACTTAAACGGTTTAAGAGTTTTGATGAAACGCCGGAATTATTTATTTCCGAGGCAATAATTGGTAGTATTAATTAAAGTGATATTTAATTTGACGCTGTTTTTCAATAGTTCAGAAATCATGTCAAGATAATTATGTTGATTCTTCATTCCTTAATATTATGGAGTCACACAAGACCCAGAAACAAAAGAGTACATGACTGTTATGTTGGATCAAAATATTAACAAATTAACTTGGAAGGAGAAATTAGAGTGTTTGAGGATTATTACAATTGATCTAATGATATGGGCTTAGTACATCGTGATCTTCATGGCGGAAACATTGTTTTGTGTCATGATGATGATTATGAAACAGAGTTCCGATCAAGTCTCCTCCTGATATGCGATCTTGGTCTGTCTCAATCGGTGAATTCACGTCAACAAAATTCAACCATTCGAGGCGTTTTACCTTTATTGCACCGGAAGTCTTCCATACTTGCAAATTTACTCAGAAATCAGACGTATATCCCTTTGTATTTGATGAACCACCTTTTAGAGATAGGCAGTTCGATAGAGATTTAGTATGCAACATTATGGGCGGACTACGACCATCGATGCCTGATTCCGCACCAGAGGAATACAAGAAACTTGTCGAGCGGTGTTGTGATGATCCTGATAAGCGATTTAAAGATGGAAGGGCACTTTGTACTGCTTATTAGAAAGGTTGACAAAGATTATTTTGACAGCAATGCATGGCTTACCATTTATCATAACAACGTAAAACCCTTATCACGTCTCGAGGAGAGTAAATATTCCAGTAAGATTTTACCTACTGGAAGTCTGCCTGAACCGAGAAGCAGTTTCTCACGGAAGGAGATTCAGCAAAGACATTATGACTTTAATCGAATGCAGGTTATGAAGACAAAAATTTATTATGTGTTGGTGTTAAATAAAATTAATTTACAATTACATAGTGAAACTCGGAAATCCGAGTTATCGAGGGACTAATAGGATTCATCGTAACACAATTTCCTTTAATGTTATATTTATAAGATTATCGTAAATTTTATTTTAATACACGGATAAAGAACGAAAGATTGTTATTACTGTTGCTTGTTTAAATAAATGTTCCTTCCACATTTATAATTATAGCTTTAACTTTGGTCTTTATTGAGGAATTCTGAAGGTTGAGACATTAGCCTTTTATACATTTTCTGAAATAAATAAACACGCTGTTTCGAAATGCAAATAATCGTAGAAATGAATATTCTATGACGTATAATACATTACAAGAACCCCTTTTTCTAAATCACCAAATACAATCATCAATGATATAAAGACGTACAGGATAAACAATTGTTTATATTACAAGACGTCTTTCTAAATCGTCAAATGAAATAGCAAAATTATCAATGACATAACGAGGTATAAACATTTTCTTTAAATTACAAGAATGCAATAAATAAATCATCAAATGATAAATCGTCAAATAACAAATGATCGGTAAGTAACATGTTTGGCCAATGAATATGACAAAATGTTATTGGACAATCTAAAAATCTTCTGCCGATCTTTGTGTAATCAAGTAAATTTATCGAGAAAATTTTAAATATGAAAAAGGGTTGTCCGACTTATCGAGTGTCCGACTTATCGAGTGTCCGACTTATCGAATTTCACTATGTATCATATTAACATTATCCATATTAATATGTTATTGGTTAGTGACTCAAAATTTTTGAAGTCTCGTCGTCACGTTTTATTCATGTCTTGCACGAATTTATTTAAAAGGTTTACTCCTCTTCCAATTGAATACGGTATTATCTGTAGTCAGGCAATAAAGTTATACATTTAAAGCGACTAGGGTGTCGATACCAATACGGGTCGAATTAATAAATTTTTGTAAGATTTGCCTGCAAAATAAAATAAAAATGGCGCACGATGTACATTGATACGATTTGCATAGTCGTTACGTTCTTGTGTGCATTTTTAATGTGACAAATGTCCATTTTAAAACATAAATTACCCATTAAATGCGACCGCACGTTCATAAATTTAGTTGGATTAATTCCTACTGGTATTTTTTATTTTTCACATACAGTATATAGATTAACAGCAGTGACGTCTAATAAAATAATACGTTTCATTGTGGTGTAAGTGTATAGTAAGTGTGTTTCCACAACACATCATTAATACAGGAAATTCAATCCCATAATTAAATCAGAGCACCGCAATTAATAAATTTAAGTCAGAAATATTTGAATTTTATTACTTAACTGCAGAATACTTGACCGAATTAATTATTGTTAATTTGTTTGTATAATCCTCTTTCTTACAATTCGTTGAAATATAAGTATATTCAAACAATTGTCCAATCTAAACCTCTAACACTGGCTGCTTCGACATAATTAATACAAAAAAAAAAAAAAAAAAAAAAAAAAAAAAAAAAAAAAAACCCTGAACCCAACTTAATTAAACACAAACGGGTTCATATACCGTTGTCAATATTAACTCGCAAATTAGTCTTTAAGTGGCATGATTTAATATGTAGATTCTCAATGTAACGTTACAAACATTACGAAAAGCCACGAAGATGCATTAGAGAACTCTACGATAGAAACTTGAAAAAGATCGACAGTGCAGAACGTGGAGGGTGTGCATCCAACTATTGGGTACCGATTGATCAAATGAGTCTCCATAAGTTTCAATCCTAATTGTTAATTAATCGCTAATTAATGTTCTTTACAACCATTCTGTGTACAGGATGCGAGTCTTATTATATTCGATTAGCAAGTATTCCCCCATCTGGCCGTTTATTTATTTTCGAAATCACAATTCTCGTAATCAAGCTTATTATTATTGGATTATGGTCCTTCGACATTTATTTGGATACTGACTTAACCATTGTAAGATTTTTTTCCCCATCATAATTCTTACTATTAACAGCTTTGAGTTTTGGTTATACGCATAATTCTGACAAATCTCTTTTTATTATTATTAATCACAATTGGATACCCGAAAGTTTTTTTCTTTACCACTTTGTGAATAAATGCTTTATTTGAGCAATCTATTCATTAATAAAATTTGCGTCTATTTCCTAGGCATATTCTTTTGCTGTAAGCGAGATACAATTCATACAATGTACAATTACATTCGTCCTTTCAGATGGTCTACCCGCATTTTATTAATCAAAAAAAAAAAAAAGTCTGGTCATAATACATAATCTTCTAAACAAATACTGGTTATAAATATTATAAACAACACATGCGACGAGAAAACAACTCTTTGTTAACGATTATTAAATTTAATGACATCAGACAATGTACTTGCTGTATGCATTACAAAGGGGTTGCGTCTTTTCACAATCAAATTACTATTACATTTAATAAGACTCGATGTTTGCAACTGGACGGGATATTTTTATAATAGGGGTATACGGATTCTGTGTCTCCAATGAGCCTAAATCTCCGAACAATCAAGGCCGATTCTCTCTCTCTACATATGTGTGTTCGTTGGTTATATCGACAGTAGAAACAAGTGATCAACAATACAAATACGACTAAGCACAATCTTTGTTATGTGGATTAGGTTGTTCTTTATATAGAAATTTGCACAATTTATTAGCGTGACTCTAAGATTCGGTCATTTCTGCATTAGCGATCCATGCTTTGTTTGCGAAGCATGTCGATAAGTTTCCGACTAACCTTATTATCACATGTTCATCACAATGTCGGAGTTCTTCAATGAGACATAATAATAATCATATACCGCTTGGTTGTGATCTTCGGTGGGACATACCAATCAAGACATTGACGATCGCTAATGGACGGACGTTTCCTTAGAAAATGATATGCAGTCCTTTGTAATCGAGCTTGTATGTATCACTAACAAATAAAAGTTATATATAATTGTAATTTGATATGTTTCATTGTCTTATCCTAAAAGGATAAACATCCGATCGTAAACACTTCAATTCACACTCAATTTGGACTAACTCTTTATTTTATTCTTATAAACCGTCTTTTGGAGTTTCATACTGTGTTTCAGGGCCGTAAAACAGTATAATAGCATGATCAAAATTTCTCAATATATAAAGCTTCGTTTTTTTGGACTAGAAAAATTATAATCAATGCGACCACAAAAAACATATCCGTATAATAAATAAGCAAAGCATTACAACCTGAACAAAACACCCACCATTATGGCAGACGACAAGCATATTGATATGCCAGATGAATTCTTTGTTGAATCACTCAAAGCTGCGGTTGAACCGCAGCCAATAATGCCTGCCATTCCCGGACTTCCATGGCAATTGTCTTGGGAAGAAAAACGCGAGTTTATTCGTCCTTTTTTTGCTGAAGCCATGGCAACATTTTTCTACGTGTTTCTGGGTGGTAGCGCCATTGCCGCATTGATTGTGAGCGGTGGTCTAGACGGTAGCCGCTTGTCGATTGCATTTGTATTTGCATTCGGTACTGCCTTTGCCATTACATTTGCAGCTCACATTTCTGGAGGACATTTATCGGTGGCATTCAGTTGTGCTTTCGCAGCATATAGAAAGTTTCCTTGGAAGACGGTTCCGCTTTATTTTCTCTCTCACATAGTCGGAGCTTTTGTAGGCACTGCATTCGTGTATGCGTGCTTCTACCCGACGATTGACGCATTGGACCTTAAACCTATTTCAGCGGATTTCCCTGATTTGCCAGTCATCGTAAAAGCATTTGTTGAGATTCCTAAAGATTTTATACCTACAGGATACATCATATGGTAATATGATAAAATATGAACTATTATTCTACTGGATTATTGTTATATAATATCGACTTACATATTAATATTAATTTATTTTTATTCCATCTACATAAACAGGACCGAATTAATTGCAAACATAGTCTTAAGTTTTATAGTCTTTAGTTTAATCGACCATAACAACAAAGAGGTTGGACGCACTCCAATAGCCATTCCGCTTTTGATAGGTTTTGTTATATTCTGTATAATTATCGGCATAGGATTCCAAGGCGTTTCGATCAACCCTGCTCGCGATCTTGGTGGACGCTTATTCATTGCGTGTATTTACGGCGGCGATATTTTCAGAGTCAAAGACTATTACTTCTGGATTCCGTTGATTGTGCCCAATGTCGGCTCGCTTATTGGAGGCGGACTTTATGATTTGATGGTTTACAAGCACGCAAAGCCAAAATCTTTACAGCAATAGAATACATGCATCATATACTGTATATATGCATAAACTGATTAAATGTTAAGATAGACGCCACATGTATTTATTGCATTAAATCAATTCGGCTGCCAAATGGCAAATCATGGTTGAATTGATACACACTCTTTTATTATTACATTAAACTTCAAGAAATATATAAACAATCAGCAATGTTTACTTCTGCTTGAACTCGTATATCGGGCAAATTATAAAACCGGTTTGATGTTGCTATGATAGAATCGGATAACACATCTATTATGTGGCGTCTCCTGCATTTAATATGCTGGTTTGTCGTTGTATGCCCATAGCAAGCTATAACAATGCAACCAAACAATGAGATTTATTACTATTAATAGTATTAACTTCAACGTGGCTTTTAAGGAATCTCCCTGATAACTGAGTTAGTTCTAAGAATTGTAGACAAGGTTTAATTGATTTACTAGGTTTGTAATACAGTATATTAGTTGACAAAAAGTGCTGTCAAGCGGGAGAGCGATTGTAGTATACTGGTCTTGAGATTTAGTTTTTCAAACGAGGCCTTTGACCACCTCTACTCGTGCTAAGCCTACTAATGACAATTAGTGACCTTAACGTTGATTTTTAAAATACTCATGATGCTAGATCGGTCTTGTATACGCTATGCCTAGATTATTCTTATTTAACTTTGAATATTACGTTTATTTCTTTCGATGGGATTGGCTACAGGTCGGAGAAGTTATTTTACACTAAACGCGTTTGTAAAAAATTCTAGAGTCAAAGTTCCTACGAAATCAATGGCAAGCTCGACTCGTTTACCGTTGATGCGGAAAAGAACTTCACACTCTTAGCGACGATAGAGAAATAACAATACCTCTACAGTCACACCATCGGTTCTCCTGAAACCAGTGACTGTAGAGAGTGCCCTCTATACAATCTCAGTATATATATAATCCATTGCGAAGCGCTTGTAAAGGGTTTATATTGATTGGCAATATTATTGTAAATTCCATCAAATGGCTTTCTTGCTCATTCAGTTCTGTACTATAGACGTCATATGGGAACAATAAGAAGTCCAGTAAGAATTACGTACACGTCCTATCATCTCTCCACCCAACAAGTCATAACTTTTTCTAGGAATGGAGATTTAACATGATCACATTTTCTTCTTGGCTTTTGAGATTATTTCTTGGATATGATCTTGCTTACAGTGGACCAATCTATCATTGAATAAGATGCAATGTCAGTACTTGTAGCCGTACTATTATCATTTGAATAAGTACAAATCTCGTGCCGTAAAGCAGGTCGCGTTCTCTTTCGAATTCTCAAATTTCACCTCATCATTTATTTTTATCATGTGATAGTGACTATAAGGAGGTAATTTTACTATAAAATCGGTCGGTTCTGTAAAAGGGTGTGACTGTAACCCAATCACGCTGGTGACTGTAGAGAAGTACGACTATTTATATTTAATCACTGATTTTAATAAAATAAGATAACAATTCTAAGCAAGGAATATAAAAACAATTGCTGAAATGAAGGATTTAATTGATCTCATATGCTGAAGATGATATTCGCTAAGAGAAATTGTGCCTGCTTACATATCTACCGTATCTATCATTTGCAATTTACATAATAAAAATGACGTCACCTGACCGATCCCGCGGCGTTTGTGCACCAAATATTCGTCGTGAAACTTGATTCCGATGTGTCACGGGTCGGAGATGTTTGTAACACTGAGTGTCATCTTTAGCCAGCGCACAAGTAATTTTCCGTTACACTACATTTCGGATGCTTGTGTATTTATTCCCTTGCAAATTGGACTTCAGTCTTTGCACTGTTTCTATGCTGAAAAAAAAAACTATATAATACTCCTATCATTATAATTGGTTATACTAGAATGAAAAAAGGAGATCAACTTAAACTATATCACAGAGCAGCAGAACAAGGAGATGCCAGTGCTCAAAATAATCTTGCCTTATGTTATGCCAATGGAACAGGGATAGAAAAAGATGAACAAAAAGCAATTGAATGGTATAAAAAAGCAGCTGAACAAGGAAATGCTAGTGCTCAATTTAATCTTGCTGTATGTTATGACAATGGAACTGGAGTAGAAAAAAATGGACAAAAAGCTGTTCAATGGTACAAAAAAGCAGCTAAACAAGGAAATTCCAGTGCACAATTTAATCTTGCTGTATGTTATACCAATGGAACTGGAGTAGAAAAAGATGAACAAAAAGCAGTTGAATGGTGTAAAAAAGCAGCTGAACAAGGAGATACCATTGCTCAATATAATCTTGCTTTATTATTATTCTATGCCAATGGAACTGGAGTAGAAAAAGATGAACAAAAAGCAGTTGAATGGTATAAAAAAGCAGCAGAACAAGGAACTGCCTGTGCACAATATAATCTTGGTTTGTGTTATGAAAATGGGACTGGTGTAGAAAAAGATGAACAAATAGCAGTTGAATGGTATAACAAAGCAGCTAAACAAGGACATGCCAGAGCACAATTTAATCTTGGTGTGTGTTATGAAAATGGAGTTGGAGTAGAAAAAGATGAACAAAAAGCAGTTGCGTTATACCAGAGTGCAATAGAACAGGCACATTTGTCAGTGCAAGTTGAAGGCAGTAGACATTATAGTAAAATGGCTGGATCAAATTTGGACATTAGTTTTGTAACTGAATTGTGTCAATTAGCAGCTAAAAAAGGAAATGTTTATGCACAATATATTCTTGGCCTGTATTATGAAAATGGAATTGGGGTAGAAGCAGATATTAAAAAGGCACTTGAGTTCTATGAAAGAGCAGCTGAACAAGGATATAGTAAAGCACATAGTAAGGTGTATACTTTATATGAAAATGGGTTGGAAGTAAAGGAAAAAGTAAGAGAAAAGATTGAGCTGGTAAAAAATATGTTTAATATAGAGCATTAGATATAAAATCAAGAATTATCATTAATATTATTAACAGAAATATTTGAAGGTAAATTTACATTTGACATATGGAATTTTCTGTACTAACATTAGGAAGAATAATCTTGAAAAGATTTAATTTATCTAGTTTGGCAAGTGTAGTAAACAATTTATAATAATAAAAGATGTATCAATTATGTTCTGTATCAACATGGGAGAGTGTTTTGATCTAAATTTGACTAGTATTATAGATGCTTTCAATTAAAGTGTAGCTCATTCTTGAAAGCGACTTTTTATAATGTCACGTAATTTATAATGATAATAATGATGACAACGACAATAATAATAATGGCTTACGCTTCAGTTAATAAAACGTGTTAAACTATACAAGGCATTGGCACTCAAGCTATTACTAACACCTCTCAAAGATTTTATATAAATCAGGAAGGCTAGCAATATATGACTATTTGATTGATAAATGAAACCTTCAATAGTGTTATATGCGGTCGCCTGGGAGAGCATTGTGGGTTATTGACCGGGGATACTCTCAACTTCGCTCAAACACGGCCTTGTTAACGTGCCCGCTTTAATTAAGGCGTCGAAGTTTATTCCTTACCTTTGGAATATATATTCACTACGCTAAGTTGCTAACGGCTAACCCAAATAAACACCTTAAGCGTTTAAGATGTTTAAAGGAAACGACTCTTTCAACGATAGCCCTGCCGCTAGCAACTTACGAATAAAGAGAGAAATTATACCAGAACAATAGCTGATATAATGATTAGGAACGTTTCTGACTTTCCTCAGCCGCTCTTTGAATGAATATAATTTAATTGTGTGTAGACGATAATATATATTTTTACTATCTGATCGTAGTCTTTCCTTAATATGGATGTTTCGTATATAATTATGAACCTCCGTAAAAGAACATATTTGGGATACAATAAATTATGTTCTGTACTATATAATAGAATATTATTAAATCTTATATTACCAAATACTGGTCTGGTTTTTCTACTTTCTGTACTAATACTAAAATTTTTGTCTACGATCTGCCTCTCAAACTAATAACTTTTGTAATGCTTCAGACGCTTTATTAAAGCCGGTTGGAAGTTCTTCTGGCTCTTCCAGTTCTTCCTCTGAG